TCAAAAATGATAATAAATCAGATTTAACAAAAAACCCCAAAGTGGAACATTAAAGGCCTGCTTTCTTAACGAAGCCTAACAAATGTGCCAAGTTGTCGGTTTCAGGTTAGAAGTATTGTTGTTTGAACTTGTTGATTAAGATATTAGGATGTTTTTCAAAATCTTGTTTATAATGGAAAAAGCAGTCATTTCTGCTTTAATAAATAATGAATCAGTTAATCACACGGTAAATTGAAATGAATGTGATAATTTCCACTTGGACGACAATCTTTAAAGAGCCTTTTTTGTATCATTCAAAACCCGTCATTTTGAAAAACGCTGCAAACTTTTGACACCCATCACAAAGCAGCTGGTTAGTTTGCACTTGTATGTATGTATTTTTTTTTTTTTAAAGTCTTAACTGGTATTTCTACCTGTCTGAGACTAATGACTAATGTGTTTTGAAGAACAGTTTTGTTTTGTTAAGAGTGCATAATCCATTTTGTTTGTTGTTTTGCTTGTTTTTAGAAAAAAACTATTTAGGATATTTTATGTGTTTTCTGGTTCCAGTGTTTTAATATTTGTTGGAAATTAAAGTTTATTAAATTTTTGCTTTTATGCCTTTATTATTCTAGTGATATAATATCGTTTATTGCAATCATTACTGGGACATTTTATCATCCAGTGAAGTTTATCATGACATGAATGCGCTTCAATGCTATTTGTAGAATATTGTGAGCTGTTGCATTTGATTGGTTATTTATTTTTCTTATCCATGCTGACTCATAAGTCTTCTTTGTGTTGGATGTCAGGTCGTTAGCTCTTCTATGAAACTGGGTTTCTGCTTAATGTCAGGGCATCTGTAACTAAATTATAAGTATTCGTAATATAATTAAGGCCAGTTGCAAATGTGGATTTGGAGATTTTATCTTATGGTGTCTTACAGATCAAACATCAGTAATTGGCTGATGTGTTTTCTTGCATCAGTGATGCCAGAAAATAAAGATGACGTGTTTTTTGGATGCAATCATAAAAAACCAAAACCAAATAAAAAATATTGTCTTGACATTGAAATAGTTTCCCATTAGACACAAGAGTTATCTACCTTTAGCTGTTTAATGCAGGAATTTCAGATGTTTACAGGTAAATATGCTGCTGGAATAACACAGGTGTTGCATCTTCATATTTACCTGCTTTGAATCACAGCTGCACATTTTGCAGTTATTGCCTAATTATTATTTTCACCAGCCTGCCAGATAAACAGGGATCCCAGACATGGAGGCTATTTCAGCCGCTAGAAGAAAACCTTCCATCTGATCTTCCCTTTAATTAAAACGCTGTTTACATTTAATTTGTTCTCACATAATCTTTTCTTAAATCACGGTAGGATCATTGAAGATTTCTCAGATAAAACATAAATATGTTGATTCTTGGAGAAAACCCATTAATCCCTGAGAAACAACATAATTTACAACACTTAAAAAAGTATTTTTAGTCAACTTTTTGTCCACATATCTTAGTACATCTAAAATAAGACTAAAGTAACTTTCATGTAACTTTTCAAAAAGATACAGGTGCTTGTTTTAAGTAAATTATTTCTTAATATTGATTCATCAAATACTAGTTTTACTAGCAGATTATTTTACCTACAACATGGAAAAAGTGAAACTAGTACTTTTTTAAATCAATATAAAAAAATTATGAGTTAGTTCTTCTTTATTTCAAGTGTAATAAGATATTTGCACTTCAAACTAGGAAAAAAAACTTGATAAGTGTGTAAATTATGTGGTTTCTCTGAGTTTTCTCCAAGAATCAACATATTTATGTTTTCTCAGTGAAACTGAAATGCAAGTTTTAGCAATGATGGAAATCTTTAACTGCACTACAGTGATTCAAAGCAAAGCAGTGTTGAGTCTTTGTTTTCTTTTATTAAGTTTTTTTGTGTGTTACGTCATATTTGACGTAATCCAAAAGTCAGAACACCGTCTCATATTGTGGCGATCAGAGAGCAGCTCTCATGCGGTTCAGGATGTATTGTGTTCACATTCTTTGCCGCTAATCTCCTTTAAAAGCACAACACGACTCCGCTCCTTCCTCGGCGATTATTGGAGATAAAAGCTGGTCATTACATTCGAGGAGCAGGCTGTTAGTCATTTGAGTTTTGCGGTTTGGAACAAACATGGTGGTGAGGTTTTGCTTGGAGCTGCAGGGTTTCAGAACCGTCTCCGGCCTGGAGAAGGATTCCAGTCTCGGATGAGGGAATCTGCCCCCTTTAATGGAAGACTGGGAAACCTAAAGGAATCCCACAGAAGGTTTTGTCATTTGGTTGGCAGAGAAGTGGATTTTAAAGACTGATGGAAAGGAGAACCAGGATTTGTTGTGCGAGATGGATCAGATTATCACAGGCCAATCAATTTATTAATTGGGATTAAAATATTCAGTTCAGACTTGTGGGAGATACATATGGCTTAACTGATTAATTGCCAACTAATTTGATAATCAGTTAACCCTTTACTGGAGTATGCAGAGTAGGACTGGATGATGTAGGTGCTTCATCAGTAGTTTTTTGACGAGTTTGGGGAATCTGCCCCCTTTAATTGAAGACTTGGAAACCTAAAAGAATCCCACTGATGGATCTGTAAGTTATTTGGATGGCCAGAAACTGGATTTTAAGGGTGACCTGTTATGCTTCATTGAACAAGTTAGGAAGAATCTGTACTAAACATTTTATGACATTTTTTTTGCTCAAAATCATTCCAGATTTTAGTCTGCTCAGTTCTGCCTATTTCGAGCAGTTTTTGGGCCTCTGTCACGTCAAATCTCAATAAATTGCTGCTTTATTTGGAGTGTAAATGCCACCAACTCAACGTTTACACTCCCACACGAAAAAGGCTGCAAACAGATGTGCGATTTTGCAACTGTACATCTTTGAAAAGCAGAAGTAGAGCCCCCTGCACAACCAACAAGAATTCAGCAAGTGGTTTCTAGATGGTAAGGCCACAACAAAACTCTTGTCTGTTCCAGCAGCCATTGTACAGTGCATACAGTGGTAAAACCAGTTAACCAAAAGTACAAGAGCTGGGTTTGGGTTGCTAAGTAATGGGTAGAACTTTGCTGGGGTTGCTAAGTATCGTACAGTGCCTGCAAGTTTGTGACATTACATTCTGTAGGTTTTTGAAACAGCTCATTTTCCAGACACCAAAAAAATATTAACTTATCACCAAAAATTAAAACACGTTTTTTTTTTTTTTTTTTTTTTTTTACATTAACTTTTGTTTTGAAACATTTTAGACCCAAATGGAGGTACAAAAATGTGCAAACCGTGGAATTTGCACAAAGAAACCGGACCAGAACCGGACCAGAACTACTTGTGTGATCCATCCGTTTGTCGGCCAGTCAAAGCCACGCCTTCCGCTTTCTCAATTAACCACAGTCTGACAGGCCGACATCCGTCATGCCTCCGCTTTTATTCTGGTGACCTTCCTCCAGTGTGAAGAACAGGCGGACAGAGGCCGGCGTGAGGTCAGGTCTCCACGGCAACCGTCTTCATCTGCGCACCCTGTTTCATCCCCATGGCAGCGGAGAGAGGCCCCGTTTCCCCGGGGTCCAGGGCGCGAGGGAGGGAATGCGAGCCGGAGTGAGGGCAAACAAGTTTAGTGCAAACACCGTAATCCAATATGGCTGCCATTGTGCCGCGGCCAGCAGTGGCTGGAGCCGACGTCTTGGAGGGGAGATACAGTGGTGTAATGATTAACCTCAGCAGAGGCCTGGAGGACGCGATCTGAGCGGGAAGGGAGAAACCAGAACCTGGGTTCAGGGGGTTAATGGGTGTAAGCGTCCATGGAGGACACAGGGCTCCGTCTGCGGGGTGAGACCTCTGATTCCCACTGCGGGTATAAAAACGCAGACCCAAGGGTCATTTCACCGCAGATGCATATTTAAAATTACTCATTTTCTTGAAATCTGTTGCGAATTAAATGGAATTAATTAATTTATTATTTCATGAGAAATTGAAAAGAGATTGAACATTTCTGTTCTGATGATACTTTTTAAAAGGAAGTTTTGTTTATAGAAGCATCATAATCCACTTTATTTATGGTTTTGGATATAAGTGGGGTTTTATTTTTTACTTTGTGTTACAGTGTTTTATTTAGAATATTTTAAACATTTACATTGCATTCTGAGTGGAAAATTGTAATGTTTAATAGTTTTCTCAGTTGTTGACTATGGAGTGTCTTCTGTAACTTTGTGCGTTTTTGGAACTTAAAGGATTTTGAATTGCCTTCCTGCTGAAAGGTGTTGTATAAATAAGCTTGATTGATTGCTTTACAAATGTATTAGTCTTGCGTCATTACGCCATAAGCAATATATTACTTGAAAATATTCTCATATGAACATTATCACTTAATGCAATAATTATTGGGAGAATTTTTCCTCCAGTATTTGCTGCGTTTTTTTCCCCTCATATGTCATTGTTTGCTTTGAGTTAGTAAATAGAAAATTACAGTTACTGTTTAATGCTCCATTTGTTTTACAACCTGTTACTTATTTAACTCCTATACTTAACAGGTCAGCAAAATTATTTGATGCTTTTTGGTTTTAACTGTTTCTTGTTTCTCTTTTGTTTCTTAGGGCGTCCACCTAAGTCTATTTTCTCCTGTTTCTTTTTCTACTTGTGTATTAATATTGTGGGAAAAAGAATCCCAGAATTGTGCTGCAAGCTAAAGAATTTGAAATGTGCAAACTGAGACTCTGGATTTTGTAGGCTGTTACAGTTTGAAACTCTTTATTTTTTTCATTTTTCACATGAACACTGATTTTAATCTAGCATGATTGTAAACGGCTTTGTGGAGCCGATAGAAAACAAACTGTCAGCATAAATTACAACGAAGGCAGGAAGTTCAGTGGAAATTAGAAAGTGGTCGTTTCTTTGTTTGTTGCATCTGGTTTTTGTTAAATGTTCATTTAAAATCACAAGATTCAAGTAATAAAAAGATTTGATCCATTTTTCTTGTTTTCAGATCTGATCCACATCATCTTTCCCCCCGCTGTGATTCTCCTACCCATCATCCTCTCCCGGTCCCTTTTCCCGCCTCCCCTCTTCTTCGTCCCCCATCTTCATCAGCCTCCAAGATAGATTCCCTCAGGAGCAAGGTTGATCTGCTCAAGCTGCCTCTGGCTCTCTCCACCAAGTCCATCTCCGAGCGCAAGAGCCAGCTGGGAGGCGCCGGCGAGCGGCGCAGCGCGGGGGGAGGAGGCGGGGCTCGTACAGCCCGCTCACCGCCGACCCGAGACATGGACAACGAGTCGCAGTACTCGGGTTACTCTTACAAGTCGTCTCACTCTCGAAGCTCCCGAAAGCACAGGTGGGCGCAAGGCCTCAAACGTCAAAACAAAAAGAGTGTTTCTTGTCAAATTTATGAAAATAATCTGAAAATGAGCAACTTGGTTCATTTGTAATTCGTATAAAACGATCCGTATTTGAGGTGTTTTGATACAAATATAAATCAAATATTTGCTTGGCACCAATTACATAAATTTGGATCAGAAATCAAAGTAACTTTTTTACTAATGTTTTTATTCTCATTTTTACAAAACGACATAAATTTAAAGGCCTCACAGTACAAAAAAACCCCAAAAAACAAAACAGAAAAACAGCTTTTTACACAAAATGCTGCAATTTAAAGATGAGTGAAGATAGTTCAACACTGGATACACAGCTGTGGAAAAAACTAAGAGCCCACTTCACTGAACCCACTGAGAACGTCCTGGTCATGCCACTAAATGCTGATCTCTGAACTCTTCCTGGGTTAAAACATCAGTGTTGTTTCTAAATTAATATGAACTTGTTTTATTTGCATTACCTGAGGTTTGAAAGCTCTGCATCGTTTTTTTTAATAATTTTGATTATTTTGACCATTTCTCATTTTCTGCAAACAAAAACATTTCTGCTTGGAATTTCGGAGGCATGTTGTCAGTAGTTCATAGAATAAAAGAACAATGTTCATTTTACTCAAACATAAACCTATAAAGAGTAAAATCAGAGCAACTGGTCATTTTGCAGTGGTTTATAAATTTTTTCCAGAGCTGTATATTCAGTTTTAGGAGTGGATGACATGAACCAAGTGATGATAATAACTATTTATTGTAGTTTTTTTTTTTAGGTAAATGTACGACTGTGACTGTGTCACAGTTTTTAAATTTCCACAAACACAAATAATTCTCTTGAAAAACAAAACACATCTATAAAAGGCTTTTTTAGTTCAGCAGTCACATAAAGACGTGCGATTTGTATCATTTAACTGAACACAGTAACGGTAATTTCATATTTATTGGCATTTATTGATGGTTTCATGGAACAAACAATAGTAAAACTATCAATCCTGACTATAAGTTTTTTTTAATAATAACTATAAATCAAAATTGTTATTATGATGATAAATGTATCCCAATGAATGATGAACAAGGCAATTGAATAATTATGTGCCTGGAAAATAACTCCACCCCTCTGAATAATAAATGGACGGCATGTTGAGTAGATATTTTTACATAAAGTTGATGTATTTGCTATCAAAATAAGGATGTTGAAGCCATCAGAAGAAGATATGAAAAACAAAAGCTGAAGATTATTTTTACACCGAATCAAACAAAAACAGAAAATGTTTGGCATCTAATTTCAAACTTAATGTTTATGTGTAACAACTGTTTCAAATCATTGTCTGTTTTCCTTTTCTGGCTCTGAGATTGTGATGCATTTGAGACACAAAAAGAGGGGAAGCCACATTGCTGAGCGCTGAGTTTCTCTGTCAATGTTTGTGTTTTGGGCTTCAGGGACCGGAGGGAGCGGCACCGCTCCAAAAGCAGAGACAGCAGCAGCCGTGGCGACAAATCAGTCACCATCCAGACGCCCGGAGAGCCGCTGCTGGACGCAGAGTCGACCCGGGGAGAAGACAGGGTCAGCCTCACCGACCTTTCTGTTTTTAAATCTCTACATGTTTAATCTCAGGAGTTATCCATGCAGATTAATCATATATTCCCAGCCTGGATAGATGTTTATTCGAGTGTAAACACAGTTGTGGGCGAGCGGAGAGCGACGCTGCAGTCTGAGTGAAGCAGTGATCACAGCTGTCTGCCTTCATAACAAAGACTTGTTGACGGGTTTCGGTGGAGCGGGCCTCAGCAGAGCGGGCCTCAAGAGTGGGATCTTGAACTCCATCAGCGGCTGATTGTGTTTTGTTGGAGCAGTCGCTCATTTGGTTTCAGTCGCTGTCAGCAGGGAAGAAGCAGGTGTTGACATTTGCCCAACAGAGCCTCTAAATGCAGAAGATGAATGACTTTGAGTTTAAAGGTGAAGGAGGGGGATGTTTGTTTCTGGATAGACATAAAAGGAGGCTTCATTTTTTCTTCCTCTTTGATTAAAAATAAGGAAGAAGTCTTGAAGAATCCCTAAATATTAATTTATTTGAGCAGTTCTTCAAACAAAACACGTAATAATGTATATCTACGCATCACCAGAAAGACACAATTCAACTTTTCTGCACTCTTAGATGCTCCCAAAAAAGGTGATTTTGCGCGATATGACCTCTTTAAAACAGTGTCCAACATTGGCGTCTTGTTTTAAAGAATTCAGTGTTTTTGTTTTGTTTTGTAAGTTTCTAGAACAGCATAAAAAGTGAAATAATTCTCCATGTTCTGGTTCTGTAGATGCACAGCAGAGCCAGTCTGGAAAATTGATGAAACAACAGCATCTTTAATGTATTTTGGTGCCCAGTATTCAGTGATTTATGAACTAACACAGGTATTTTAAAGTCTATGAAGACACTGCTGTAATAATTAATGCAACTAAAAATAAAAGATGAGGAAAGATGGTTCAACACTTGATATGTATTCAGTTTCTCTAAGTCTTTTAATCCTGCAAATGTTCTTCAGGTGATGGAAGGCCGACTTTGTAACCATCTTTATGTGTCTTTGAAAGTGCAGGTCTAATTCCAGGCCTGATCAGCAGTTTCTAGCTGCATGATAACTCTAAAAAATGTCTGATCCCGTTCCCTGCAGGATGACAACTGGGGAGAGACCACCACTGTCGTCACTGGAACCTCCGAGCACAGCATCTCAAACGAGGACCTCACCCGCGTCACCAAAGATCTGGAGGAGTCGACGCCGCTGGAGTGCAAGCGCTTCATTGGCCCGGCGCTCGGAGGCTGTCTGAGCTTCTTCGCTCTCATCACGCCGCTGGCCTTCCTCATCCTCCCTCAGGTCCTGTGGCGGGACGCCCTGGAGCCCTGCGGGACGCCCTGCGAAGGCCTGTACGTCTCGCTCGCCTTCAAGCTCCTAGTCCTGCTCATCTCCTCCTGGGCGCTGTTCCTCCGCCCGCCCAGAGCCACGCTGCCGCGGTTCTTTGTCTTCCGCTGCCTGCTGATGGTGCTGGTGTTCCTGTTCGTGGCGTCCTACTGGCTCTTCTACGGCGTGCGGGTGCTGGAGCCCAGAGAGAGGGACTACAGGGGCATCGTGGAGTACGCCGCCTCGCTGGTGGACGCCCTGCTCTTCATCCAGTACCTGGCTCTGGTGCTGCTCGAGGTTCGACACCTGCAGCCGGCTTTTTGCCTTAAGGTGGTCCGCAGCACGGATGGAGCCAGCAAGTTTTACAACGTGGGTCATCTCAGGTGAGCGACCGATCCTGGAAACACGTTCACTATACGACTAGCTCTGAAGAGTGAGGGCTGAGTGATTTTTCTTAGACAGTTTTGTGTCATAAACTATCTTGGGAAAGACGTGGAAGATGTTTTTTTCCCCCTGACTTTTGTTTATGAAATAAAAGTTTTGTCTACCCAGCAGATTTTTTTTTTTTTACTAAAAGCTTAAAACATACTCTGAAACTCACAAGAATATCAAGCTTGAGTTTGCACTACAGTTTTAGTCTAAATGTATTTTAATGTTCCAGGAAGTATTTTGAGCCTCAGTTGGTTTATTTTTCTACCGTTTCCTACCCCAGAGGAGAAGCCTCCACCGCTCTGATCCTGATGATGACGTTTTATCTTCATGTTTCTTTGGAATGGGCTGTAATTAAAGTATTTTTCTTTGTCATGAAAGGATGCACAAGCATTTCTGTAAATGTTTGAGTGGTTTTGTCCTCTGATCTGTTTGCAGCATCCAGCGAGCGGCCGTCTGGGTACTGGACCGGTATTACAACGACTTCTCCGTCTACAACCCTGCTGTGGTCAACCTTCCCAAGTCCATCCTGTCTAAGAAGATGACCGGATTCAAGGTTTACTCCCTGGATGGTGAGTGATTATCACTCTCACCTCAGCCTGCTTGTGATTCTCCCACACACGACATTGTTCCCCCTTTGTTCTCACTTTGAGTATTAACACCAGATGAAAACCTGTCGTGCAAACCTCTAAACCCTCCCTCTGCGTGTGTCGTCTTGCAGAAAGCACCACCAATAACTCGACGGGCCAATCGCGCGCCATGATCGCAGCGGCTGCCAGGAGGAGGGACAATTCCCACAACGAGTATTACTACGAGGAGGCCGAGATGGAGCGCAGGATCCGCAAACGCAAGGCCAGGTTAGACACGGCAAGAAACGGCGTAAAACCTGAGAACAGAACCGCAATCTGCTCCGGTTCAAAGTGAACGGGCATGTAGTGACGAGGCTGCTGTGGATATCATTAAGGCCTTTCCATCATGTAAACTCCAACAATCTGAGTTAAGCCTTCATTTAAATGAGTCATGGTTGTCCTGTTCCCACATGTCCTGGTTGTTGCGGCTGCTGTAAAAATCAGACAGTTTTCCGAGCCAGGCTCTGCTTTTGGAGAAAAGCTTGATTAACTGGCAGCCTGCCGCTTGGAGAAGCCGTGCTGGCTTCTGTCCTAACGGTCCAGAATGACGAGTTCATTCTGTTTACTCAGAGCCGAGGCATTCAGAGGAACATAGTTTCAGTTTTGCTAACCTTAGATGAACTGGGTAGCTTTTCATAACTTGATTCTTTCATTTCTAGTATATAAATTATCTCACTGGAAGGTGTAGAAACACTAACAAATGCAACTAAAAACAAATAATATAAATGGCTTAATTTGTAGACATAGTGTCTTGAGAAAGTCTTTATAACCCTTGAATTTTTCACACTTTGTCACAAAAACCTTATAGATTGGTTGCTTAATTTAATTCTTTGTTTTAGAGTAACACAAAGGAGTGGATGATTACTAAGAGAAAGAAAAAGAAAGTGTTGTGTAGGTTTGCATTCAGCACCTTTTGCTGGAATATAAGCTTTAGTGCAACAAATTTCCTTTGTAAGTCAGCTAGGAAATAATTTAGTTTCAGTAACAATGAGCACCTCAGAGGTTTGTTACAGGATATTTGTGATCAGCAATCAAGAGAAGCAGCCAACAGATCCATAGCGACTCTAGCAGAGCTGCAGAGATACAGGTCACATACGGGCAAAATAACAATAAAAATCTGTTTCCAGTCCCTGCAGCAACTGTAAACATGAAGCCAGAGCTACTGCAGAATGTCTTAGACCCGAATGAACAGTTCAGACGTAAATCCAGCTGCAGAGCTGTGGCAATAATTGATGACTGGTGTTCACAGATGCTCTCCATCCTGAGCTCGAGCTTTTCAGCAAATAGCAAAGGGGGAAAAAAACTGTTTCTATATGTGCAAAACTGGTAGAAAGTCCAACACATCTGAAGCTCTAATTACAGGATTCTAAAAAAATCTTATCTCTGGCGAGCCAGTCACAAACACGTTTTCCTGATTGTGTATTGATAAACCCATCAATAAACTGTTAAGATTTTAATGACATTCAATAAGTACTTCTTTAGATTAAATAGCACCAAACATCTTTCCACACTGATGGATCCCTCCAGGATTTTGGGATTCCTTTTATGATTTTTTCCCAATCAAACTCACAGATTCTGTGGTATTAATTTAATATTTGCCAGAAATTATGCAATATTTCAGCTTATAATATTTGCCTAGAAATCCATATATATATATATATATATATATATATATATATATATATATATATATATATATATATATATATATATATATATATATATATATATATATATATATATATATATATATATATATGGATTTATAGACTCTTAATTTCAGATAAAATAAGTTAGAAGAAATACTGCCACCTGCAGGTGAGAGTTAGAAGTCACTTGAGCTCAATATTTGTGACTATTTTTGTGGAAACTTGGAATAAACACAATTATCCACTGAATTAAAAACAAACAGATTGATGTAATATCGCAGTAAACAGGTAAAAATTGCTTTAATTTGACTGATGCAATAATACATAAACACACAAGTGTCTTAAAAAGCTGTGATGAACCTTGAGTTTGACATGCATAAGAAACCATTCAGCTGCAATTAACTGTAATTATTTCTAGGTCATAATAACAAGTTTTGCTGGAAGATAAATTGTCCCAGAAGTTATTGCAATAAATAATATGATTGTTTTGATATATGAGTCGTAATAATGCAAAAACACATTATTCTCAAAGATCAATGCATTCTAATGAACATTTAAGACATTTTAAATATTAAAAATAAATTTAAAAAAAGAACAAAATGGAATGAATTATGACGTTTGTGCAACTTGAGACCCAGTTTTTCATACAAAGAGAAAAACGATAAATAATGCTAATCAAAATTATTGTGATTTATTAATTTAGAATAATTTATTGCGACCGGCCTAATTGTGCCCGTGTTCGGTCTTTGTCATGGTTACCCGTCCAGGCTGGTCGTGGCGGTAGAGGAGGCGTTCACGCACATCAAGCGGCTCCACGAGGACGAGGCGGCGGCGTCTCCCAAGCACCCCAGGGAGGTGATGGACCCCCGGGAGGCGGCGCAGGCCATCTTCGCCCCCATGGCGCGCGCCATGCAGAAGTACCTGAGGACGACGCGGCAGCAGGCCTTCCACAGCATGGAGAGCATCCTCACGCACCTGCAGTTCTGCATCACTCACAACATGACGCCCAAGGTGAGAACAAGGCCTTTCCAACGCGAACGGGTGGATGTGTCTCACCGACTATATTGGTATATTTTCTACGTCTAAGTAGAAAAAAAATTCTGTTTCTTCCGTCTTTCTTTGGGTCTGATTTTCTTTTCTTTCTTCATTTCTTTTTTATTTTTCATTCTTTTCTTTCCTTCCTTTATTTTTCAATTTTTCCTTCCTTCTCTTTCCCTTCTTTACTTTGTTCGCTGCATCTTTTATTCCTCCTTTCTCTTGTTTTCCTTGCTTGCTTTTTTGATTCACATGTCTCTATTTTTCCTTTTTCCATCCTCATATTCTTTCTTCTTCCCTTCTGTTGTTCTGTATTCTTCCTATTTTTATTCCTCCCTTATTTTTTCATGCTTTTTTCCCTTCATTATTTTAATTTCTTGCTCTTTTCTTGTTTTTATCCTTCCTGCTGTGAATGTTTGTGTTTCATACTTTTATGATGGAAGGTAAATTTGTGCGAAAGGATTAATTTATTAATTTTTCTGTCTCGTTTTGTTTGTCAGGCCTTTTTGGAGCGATACCTCACCCCCGGCCCCACCATGCAGTACCAGCAGCAGAGCGGCAGAGGGCGCCAGTGGACTCTGGTGAGCGAGGAGCCCGTCACCTCGGGCCTCCGGCAGGGGCTGGTCTTCTCCCTGCGGCGCCTGGACTTCTCTCTTGTCATCACGGTAACGCCGCTTCCCTTCCTGCGGCTCGGTGAGGAGTTCATCGACCCGAAGAGCCACAAGTTCGTGATGCGGCTTCAGTCGGAGACGTCGGTGTGAGCGGGGCCGCTCCTCCTGGACGTGACACGGACACGCTTCATTATCCAATCAGCAGTCAGCCTTCTCTCTCCCTTGTCTGCGACAGAAACCAATCAGAAGGAGGAATGCAGCGTTTACTTTTTCTTCTTTATCATCAAACTGTGATCGGCTCAATGATTGTTTTAAAAAAAAACGAACAGAGGCCTTTTCGCCGCCGCTGTTTTTTCTCTAAAAGGTTTATTTCTCTTTAACCACTGAACCACAGAGGAACAACACACGAACGCAAGAGGAAGGAGGAGATTATGTCACTTCCTGTCAGTCACTCTGGTGATGTTTTCTCCGATAGCGCATGGACCTGCTTTTATATGAGACAGAGGGGCTTTTACTGTTTTAACCTGCAGAATGTAGCAATTTGTGCTGCGAGTTGATGGTTTTTATGGAAAGAAGAGCAGATATACATAATGCAGCTTTTTTTTCCCCCATGATGCACTGCAAAAACACAAAATATTACCAAGTATTTTTGGACTAGTTTCCAGTGTAAACATAAAATAAGACAAAACTGGCGTACAAGTAACTTTTACAATCTTGTTTTAAGTAAATAATTTCTTAATATTGATATTATTTTATTCATAACAATAGATTTTTCCAATGAAATAATCTGCCAGTTGATCTCGTATTTTTGCATCAATATTAAATAATTATTGACCTAAAACAAGCTCCTCAATCTTGTCGAAAAGTTACATGTATGTTATTTTTGTCTTATTTCAGGCGTATTAACATATTTGCACTAGAAACTAAACCAAAATACTCGGTGATATTTTGTGTTTTTGCAGTGTAAAAAATGTTCGTCCTAATTTTGCAGCTTATTATGATGCATGAGTCTGACGGTGGTCCAAAAGATCAACTGGAAATACCAAATCCATTCGTTCTATGCACAAAATGTGCTAAACGACTAAAAGCTGTTTAGTCGTTTAGCACATAACTAAACGACTAAACATAACTATTCCTGGCTGTAGGATGCAGTAGGTGAAACTCACCCAAAATAAACAGAAACCTTTGACTCACTGCCGTTTTTAATCACATCATTCTAAATGTAAGTAATTTAAATTAATTGAATTGACTGTTTTCAGCCTTTATGAGCTCATTTTGGGCCATTTGAATCAAAACAGATTGATTTAGAAAAAGATTAACCGAACTTGTTTGTTTTCCAGCTGATTTTATTATTAAAAATAACATAAGCATAAAATTAGCATTCCTCTCTGTTGTGCTTCAGCTGTGCAACAATATTTGGCTGCAGACTCCCTGATTCCAACCTGAGCCGCAAAAAACGAAGAAAATGTTTAGAATTCAACAACTAAATACTTTTTGTTCACGTTAATGGTTTGGTTTAGTGGTCAGTACCTGCATGAACCAGGAGGGGCCTTGATGTCTGTGCCTGCAGCTCTGCATATATTTCATGCATACTGTCCTTGCATGAAATATAAAAAGCTGTTTTTCTCAACAGTTCAACATGAATTTAGAGTTAAACGTAAAGGAAAATCTAAATCAGGTGCGTTACTTCTGAGAATCATGCAGCTTTTCTAAAGGAATTCATAATTGGACAGATTTTAGTGTTAATATATGCTAAAATCAAGCTTTTAAGAAAATGTTGTTCTTTTTTTAGCATTTTTTTTAAAGCGTTAAATGACCGTCGAGATGAGGATGCATAAACTCAAACATTAACAGTTTGAATTGCATATTTTAAACGGGTAACAATAATTTTGCTTTTTTACTTTTTCAAAACTGTCACTTTTTCACCTGGTAGCAAAAAGCTTAAATTGTAAACTACTCATTGTGTCTTGTACCGGTTACAGGAGACTCTTATTTAGGGTGAAACCGGTTCTGCTCGAGATGCTTGTATACGTCTGCAACCACACGGTTTTTGTATTTGATGTAAAAACGGATAAGTGTCCCAAACCGGACGAGCGATTGTAACTGCTCTGGCCACCGCCTCGCCTTGTGCCGCTTTAATGGAACCTGGAGGATCTGCAGCCCGACTGCCTTTTTCAGCTCCTCTCATATAAACTCAAGACGTTTCACATGAACAGTCCTGATTTCTTTTTTTATTCTCTAAGGAAAGCATGCGCAGAGTTATTTCAGGCTCCACTTTTTTATTTTGAAAAATTAACTTTTGTATCATTTTAAGGTGCCTAAGTTATGATGATGCAATTTTCTTAAATGTTTTTACTTAAATTGGAAAAAAAAACTTGTAAAGAAAAAAAATGTAGATTTGTGTTTTCTCCTTTGGTAACAGTAGCTTGTAAAGTGTTTTAGACATTGTTTCTATTATTAAACCACCTATTCCTAATAAATCCTGTCTTGTCAGCTGTTTTCGAAGCTGAAAATGTTTCCTGACAGGAATTTCTCCTTAAAGAGAGACAGAGGGCTTCTTGAAAAAAGACTTTTAAGAGGAACTTCTGAGAAGGGAAGATGGCTGATGTGGTAGGCGTGTGGTTTCGTAGCTTCAAAACGGACAGAGAGCCCTTCACTTCCTGTTCTCAGTCGCTCTGTCGAGGCTCTTCAGACGCGTCGACGTTTCTCTGACGAAGGGAGCGAACAAAGCGGTTCCTTCGCCTCCTTCTCCGGTACGTTCCAGTCCTCTGTTGATCCGTCTTTATTGAATCTGGAGTTTGTTTATTCGCTGGTGATGCTTGTGTGTGTAGAAGCAGCTGGAGACATGAACGTGTGTTACATCCTGGATGGGGTTCTGATCCTGTACGGCATCATTCTGACTGTCCTGTACTGCAGGCTGAGGGTAAGAACCGTTAAAAAATAACAAAGCTTCCATGCAGGTATCATCGTTTTGTTTAAAAATGCAACTGATTTTGGTTTATTTTCACTTAAAAATGTTTTCCCCCTTTTTGATTTGATATTTCTCAGATGCGTCCATCGAATAAAGCATCCGGCAGCCACCCGGAGGTAAAGCTCTCTGTGTGTGTTTATGTTGTAGAATCGGGGTGGCATTTTATTTACGTGACTTCTGCGGTAACTCTTCTTCAGAGCTCAATCGTTTCCTGTAAACTCGAGCTGACCACCAACCTACATTATTTATTTTCACACTCAGAGTTTCCACCTTCTACTCTGGTGTCAGATCCTGCTTCCTGCTGATGTTTTTGTCTTGAACTTTTCAGATGACATTAAACTCAAAGCGGGGGATATAAATATTCAGGACATTTATTTCCAAATCCTAAAAAGTCCTGAAGATAATTTTTGTTTCTGTCCTACAGAAGCAGCCCGCAGGCGGAGGCATTTATGCGGTAAGATTCTCATTTTAATGCTAAAAGAAACTTTTAAACAGGGAAAAGTGACAGCCTAAAGTGAGAGCCAGTCACTTTTTTGTTCTTGTTTTAGTTTTTGTTGAATAAAGCTGCAGGCTGTCACTGTTTTACACCCAGTCTGGTTGCAGGAAACGTTTGCATAAAGCTGTTTTTAGTCTGGCATTTGTGAGTTTTTCAGTGTTTGTGTCCTGCAGGGTCTGACGTCCCGCAGCAGCGACACCTACGAGACGATCAAGATGGACAAGAAGCCCATGGTGTGACCAGCGCCCCACATGCAGCGGAAATACACATATATAAATATAAATATAGCTTTATACTCTGGTTATATGTACTTTTTACATTACTTTTACTCATTTTGTAAAATACTAATTTTCTATTTTGTTTCTGCACAAAATATTACAACTAATAAATTAATTTAACAGTGTTTGATTCTTTTCTCAGTGTTTTTGTGCTTCCCTGCTGGTTTCGGTCGGAAAAAAAGCAGAAGTCTCAACATATTTTCTGTTCCCACTTTTTCAAGCCTTAAATTAAGTCTTACAGTTTTATTCTACTTGACTAAAGCGACTGTTTTAAATCATATCTGTGTTTTTATATGTTACAGTGCTGATCTATTATTATTTTAGATCTTTTTAAAACATTTTTCAGTTACCTGAAATGTCTGACTTCCTGTTAGAACTACCAATTAGTTTTTGGTTGTCTGTGGTTTGATGACATCGGCACAATTCTGTTTGTGGTATTTTTAAAGTTTGAAAGAGAATGGAGGAACTGACTCCGTTTTTAATAAATAAAATATTAATAATTAAGTTTTGACAGTTCTGAAATACTTCTTGGGATGAAACTTCACTCAGTTTTCAATTAAACTGGATAAACTTTCAAGTTGAAAAATTTGCCATTTGACCCAAAGACAGTTTATTTAAACTTTAACTTTGTCATTAGTTAATTGTAAACCAACAGATTGTTGTTTTCTCTACAGAGCGATGCTGACAGGAGTCACAACCTTTGAACTTGTGATTTAGATATTTGCAAAAAAGTTGTGCGATATTTGCGCCCATGCATGCATTACGGTAAATGTTACAGTTTTTACTTGATGACTTCAATCAACGATGAGGAAAATACTGCCACCTGCAGGCGAGAGTTAGCATCACATAAACCTAATGTTTTCCTACCCAATGTAAAATATTTTGAGCTTAATTTGAGATTATCTAGTAAAAGATTTTTGAGTTCGAAAAATGTTAAATTTGCTTCAAGAAACAAAAACGTTTTTTAGAAAATTTTCAAGTTCAAAACTTTTTTTTTTTTTTAGAAATTTTCTTAGATTAATTTACCAAATTTTCGACTTTTGAAATCTGAAATATTCATGTTTTTCCTAGAGAAAAACTCAAAAATATGTATATTTTTTCTGGCAAATTTTCAACTTTTCAAATTTTGCTTTCGAGACTGAAAATTTCCAAACGTTGATCATTTTCATGTTTGGAAATTCTTTAAAATTGCTTTTCTTTTTTTCTAGAAATGTTCATTTTGTTTTTTCTATTAAATGTTCAACTTTTAAAACTTAGAAGAAGAGTTTTACTCTTCCTTTCTTTGTCCATATGACCGTCATAATTTGCTGTTGAACTTTTGTGGTTTCATTCATTCATTCATTCATTCATTCATTCATTCATTCATTCATTCATTCATTCATTCTCTTGGATTTGCAGAACTGGAAACACGTTTAAAGCAGATATAAAAGCAGCAGCTGGCTGTTTGCTCCTCAGACTGATACAATGAAATCACTTTATGTTGCACGTGTGTATTAAGCTGTGCAACAAAAGAGTTGCTTAATGCAGCATTTAACAGGCTGACCGTGTTGTGTTTGTGGAATATCAGGAACATTTCTTAATCAGTGAGTTAAAGCATCATGCTTCATTGCAGTTGTTACTGCGGAACGAGTGAATCAGCATCACAGTGAGTTTGTATTTATTTAATCTGGGACAAAACAAAGCGTTACACGTCTGTGTCACGTGCTGCAAAACATCTGTATGAATAAATGAAGACGCCTATTTATTGCATGCAACTCCTGAAGAAACAGATAATCACTGAAACAACACAAAGCAACTGATGTTTTGGGGAAAAAAATCCTGATGCGTTCACTGACCGGGGGAAATTGAGATTAAATCACACTAAAATATTGCAGATTCCTCATTAAATATTTTTTGATATATTGTTAAAAAAAAAAATTTATGTTTTTAAATACATGTGAACATGAATCCAACATTTACAAAATTGATAAAATGAGGCATAAAATTTCAGTAATAAATACACATTTAGTGAGCAAAAATCTGTTCATTTTATGTAAAATAATACTTTGTTCATGTCTGTGACATCACTTTTAATTCACATATATGCTTTAAATAAAAATGTGAAACATAGACGCTATATATTTCAAGATTAGAAGATATTATCAGCATCAATTAAACTATTCAGTTTGTGCCAATTCACAAAAATATAATCTCGAGACAATTTAGAAAATGATAATAATAATGATAATTCAATTTATAAACTCAGTTAATTATTCAAAGTAGTTCAACAAGTTTCTACCCAAGAAGAAACTTTAGATGAGATGAAGCTTTGTGCAGTTTAAGCTTTTTCTTTTTCACTATTTACATCTATGTCTTAAAAATATGTACACAAGAGTAAAATGTATTTGGTAAAATGTCTACCCAAATACTGAGTAACTGATCAAATGATCAATCAATTGATATTTAAAGAATTACATCATCGGATAGAGCAAAACATAAAGTTAAATGGAAATTTAGGTATTTTAAGGATGAAAAAGACAATAAGTTATATTAGTAACAAAAAATTAACATCAGGCAAAATTTATATATTTTTAAAAAACTTAAGAAACTCCAGATGTGCATCTGGTGAATTTTTGGTGAAAACCTAGAAATTGGACTAAGATGGTAAAATTACTCAAGTAAAAGTAAAAAGTACAGCGAAGTAAAAGTACTCCTAAAAGTAATTTTCTTTCAAAAAGGTCAATTAATTGAGTAAAAGTAACTAGTTACCTAACTCTGCATTTAGCATATCTAGTAGATATGCCAGGTTTAGCATATCTATGACTTTAAGAAAGTGTCAAATCACCATTCTGATGAACAATTGATAAAATAATCAATATTTTTTATTCATAAATCAATATAGAATTAACCACTCAGCTTTTATTTAGTGAATGTCCTCATTTAAAGAAGCTCTTTAATTCTCACAGACACCTGAACGCGGCATATATGTAGGCGTCAACAATCCACAGGTGGGCGGGGCTTATCCCGACAGGTGTAGCAGCAGCTCCAACCTGCGCAGGTTGCGCTGCGGCTCTGCGGCTCTGCGTGACGAGCGGACAGGTTTTCGTTAGACAAACACACACTGTGTTCCTTTCTGCTGTTTGTTTGCGCACAAACAGTTTTTTCTGCTCCTGCAGCAATTTGCATTCACCTCTAATGAAGTCAGCGCGGATCCACAGGAGCGTCACTCAAATGCGGATTTTTAAGCTAAAAACCCCGAAGAGGAGCTGAGGAAGAGGGAGAACGTCCTGGGCAGGTTCCCGAACCCTGACCCCAACCTGACCCTAACCTGACCCTGACCCATAACATGATCATTTAAACAGGGAAACTAAAAGCTGCAGTTCGGGGTACAGATGGAGTCGATGACTGGACTTCTGCTTCTTCTGCTTCTTCTTATCGGTGAGTTAATCTGATTAAACCGGTTCTGAGTTATGTAGTCTTGCTTTTCTAAGGTTTAGACTTGAAAAGATTTAACTTTAATCTGATTTTACTGCAAAATGTCATCAGAAACAAGTTTTCATTTGCTAAGAAAGACGCAGGCTGCAGTACGCCACGCAGTGACCCCACTCACTGCGTGGCGTAGAAAGCTGTTCAGATCAGAACCCAGTTTCTTTTAACTTTGTTTTAAATTTTGTTTTCAACACATTTTACTCAGATTAAGCTCAGTCTTAATGAAGTTTGAAAAATTCACTCAATCAATTTTAGTGTTAAACTTTACATGCTTTCTTTTAATCAAGGTTTTTAATTTTGATTTGCAAACATTTTATTCAGATAAGGTTAAGTCTAAAGATTTAAATGTTCATCATAAGGAATTTTAAAGTTAAACTTACAGATACTTTGTTTTAGAACAGCATCTATTTTTGTCAGGGAAACAAACTCTCAGCCTGTTTGACAACTATTGCAGCTCATAAAATGCTGCTGCTGCTGCTGCTGAAAGGTTTTCTGTTCCTGTTTGGGAGGTTTATTTGTTCCCTCCTAACTTATTATTTAAGTCTGTCTTGCATCTGACCTTTACCTGCCAACTTTTTATGATCGAAGAGAAAGAAAGTATTGGAAGGAAGCTTTATACTTGCATTGTCTGAGACAGTTCCCTGCATGTTTTGAGCTCTTATTATAGTTATTATGTTAATCTTCAGCTCTTTCCAGGAGGTGACGTTTGTTGTGAGTTGTTCTTGTTCAGGAAATTCTGCATATGCTTTATTTTTTTGTGGTGAGAACGTAAGAAATCCCACATTTGTTCAGGTGTGGCTGCATAGAGATCATAATTACCTCAGGGTGCAAAAACACCTTGGAGATATTTTAGAGCGAAGTTTGGATTTTCTTTTTCTTTTGCATTTTATAACCAGTTTTCTTAAAAAAAATGTTTTTACTGTAATATGCTAAATATCTATATCTTATTCAGTATAGATAGTTTGGATATTTCTGAATTTTCAAGCAAATGTTTTCTAATTGGGGTTTGCATGTTGTGTTTTTATCCTTTCGCTCAGAATTTCAACATAATAAGAAATAAAACAGGAATTTAGCCGAAAACCTTCCATCAAACTGTGTTGAAGACCTCAAATAATGATATTTTTTTAATACAAAATACATTAAAAATAATTCAAATGTTTCACAATGACTGCATTTTTACTGCAACATTGCAGAATGATTATCTCAATGCACTTAAAAAAATAAATCCAATTAATTTAGAGCCGATCTAAATTAGTTCAGAATTAGGGGAATATATTTAACCAAAAAGGTGAAAACCAAGCAACAAACTGTTAGAGAAACATTTTTTTTTTCTCGGCGCTCACGTCTGAAATGTCCTAATGTGGCACCGAGTGGGTGGCGTCGAAGAACGCAAACGTCCTCTTGCTGACATTTCCCACCCTGACATGAAGTAAAATCAACAGGGAGGTTAAAATGTGTTTGTCAGTGTTGAGATGTAGCTGATAGTGTCTGCAGGTTTGGTGGGATCTTTCCCACCAAACCTGTGTTGTGTTGTCATTTACATTCTAGTAGATGATGCAGTTTCAACACAAGGACGTTTAATCTGCCGTTTTTCCTGATATTTCATGTCCTGAAGAGCTTATAAACACAGAAATGTTGGTGTTACAGCTCAGTAAGCTCATGCTTCCAATGGAGATTTTTGGTGGAATGTTTTGACTTTTGTTTGATGGCGACTGAGCCGCGGTGCTTCAAAATCTCAAGGATCAGCTCCTAAATTTTCCACCAGCTCTGGAGGATCTGGTGCTGGTAGAAATATCTGAGACGTTTATGTTGAATTTGAAAGGATGTAAGACTCTGAGCTGTTTACCTGAAACAGACTTGATGTCCTCTGAAGGTGACGATCACTCTGAGTGTCCGGATGAGAAATCAACCTTGTTGACAGGATGATGGATTTTGCCTTAGAGTTCACATGATGCTGAAAGAATCAGTTTTCTACATTTTGTTGAACTTGGTTGTTCCTGCTTTGTTACTCCCGCTGCATTCCTACAGTATTTTTGTCTTTAACTTAAAGGTTGTCTTCAGCTATTGAGCTTCATTGAACAGGTGCACAAAACATGTTCAATACACTTTACACAGAACCATTCTTGGGTAATGAGAATGTTTACATTCATACAAGATAATGTCTGCAAACAGATGCACAATTATACAACTGGACATCTTTGAAAAGCAAAAGTGGAGCCTCATACTCAACCAATAAAAATGCAGCAAGTGGTTTCTGGGTGGTAGGCAAATAAACTTGTTTTTTCCAGCACCCATTGTACAGCAAATACAGCAGTAAAACCAGCTGACCAAAAGTGCTGGAGCTCTTCTGAGTCGCTAGAAAACGGCGTAGTAACCATAGGATGTGACTTAATCAATCAATCAATCAATCAATCAATCAATCAATCAATCAATCAATCAATCAATCAATCAATCAATCAATCAAATTTTATTTGTATTTCAGCAGCAAGGCTTTTCAAAGTGCTTTACATCATAAACACAAAAACACAAAGTCATGCAAGACATCCGGTCACCAGAAATGTTTTCTTTCAAGGATGTGGGATGTTTTTGGAAGCAGTAAAAGCCGAAATCAAAACTCACTTCCAAGAAACTTTTCAACAAGAAATAAATCTCGCTTTAACGTCAATAATGTCTGAATATTGATGAAAAAATACCAGGTATAAATGAAATGATCTGTCAGCGGGACCAGTGTTTTTTCATTAATATTAAGGAATTATCGACTTAAAACAAGCTTCTATAGACTTGCTAAAAGTTACTAGTAAGTTAGTTTTGTATTATTTAAAATGTATTAAGATATTTGCAATGGAAACTAAATATCCTCCTTGAATGAACCTCCTTAAATTTATAATTTCCTCAATATTTTTGTGCAAAATAACTTCTTACTCTAACAATTTAATTTATATGAAGACATTTTATACATTTTTCATCAGATAAAATGTTAAATTTAGTAAATAGAATTAAATTTATTTTTCATAAAAACTTTTTTCTGGAATGGGTTAAATGTGCTATTATTATAACCCCAAAGCTTCTTCAGTTTTCTGGTTTTGATGAAAATGACTAAAGAAAACTCACTAAGTAAGATGATTTATGAGAAGATATTACAAGACAAAAACAACAGGGATTTTGTTATTTGTCCACTTTTTTAATAAAACAGTCTTCTACTCGGATCAGTGTGAACCCTCTGCAGTGTCACCTGCAGCTTGAAGCTGTCTGAACTCAGGCGCCTGCAGGTAAAGTCTTAGATTAAATGCAAGTTGCGTGAAGGTGCGACAGAATGCGGCTCGGGCGCATTCTTTCTCCTGAACATGAGTCAGAGGTTGTTGTGCAACCGGCATCTTCCTGTTTTCATGACTAATTGTTTCCCTCCTCTGCGTAGTTTAAAGGCACTGACAGAGACGAGGTCAGAGAGCAATGCTCCGCTTAGAAGAAAACATAATGTTATCAGGCTCTTGGTTTCAACAGGTGTGAGAATCTCAGGTGTGATGGAGTTACTGTCACTCTGAGGGGACTGGGAAAGCCTGAAGGGCAGCTTTGTGAAGTCGTGTTTGTCTAGAGTGTGTGAACAGTGGTTAACTCTTTCTCTCTGTTTGCTGCTGATTTTTTTACCTCATCTTTGCCTTCCTCTAAAACCTCGTTTAATCTGATTCTGTCCATCCAAGGTCTTTCTTTCTCTCCTGCACTGCAAAAACACAAAATCTAACCGAGTAATTTGGTCCAGTTCAGAGGTGGGCCGACTGAACTCAAGTAATACTGGCAATACTTTAACATACATTTACTCAAGGAAAAGTGAAAAGTAGCCGTTCAAGAAATTACTCATAGAAGAGTTGAAAATTACTCCACTACTGAGTTACTGATCAAATTATTAATCAATTAACATTTAAAAATTACATCATCAGATGAAACAAACTATAAAGTTAAGAGGAAAATTTGGTATTTGAAGGATATAATTAATATAAATAACAAAATCAGGCAAAAGAACATTTTTCCAAATCAGTTTCTTTCAATATAAAACTGATAAAACTTTAAAACCTGCAGGCGTGTCAGTGTCTGATGTTTTTCATTTAGCGGGCAAAAAATCCAGAAATTTACCCAAGTAAGAGTAGAAACACTTCATAATAAAATTACTCAAGTAAAAGTAGAAATACAACATAGTAAAAATACTCCTAAAGGTAATTTCTTTCAAAAAGATACTCAAGTAAATGTAATTGAATAAATGTAACTCGTTGCAACCCAACTAGTTTCTAGTGAATATATGTTTGTACACTTAAAATAATAGAAAAACTAACTTATAAGTAAGTTTTCAGAAAGATATAGGAGCTTGTTTTATGTAATTAATTTCTTAAAATTGATGAAAAGGTAGTTTAGTTTCACTGGCAGATTATTTCACTTATAACTTGGCATTTATATTATTAGTGAAATACTTTGCTAATATAATTGGAATTTTTTAAATCCATGTTAAGGAATTACTGACGTAAAACAAGCTGCTCGAAAACTCATAAGTTAGTTTTTGTCTTATTTTGAGTTTACAAGATATTTGCACTAGAAAATTGACAAAAATACCTGGTGGGATTTTGTGTTTTTGCAGTGCAGATTGACGCCTCGTCTCTGTGGGACGTCTGGACGTTTGCATCCTTGCAGGATCTGTGGGATTTTGTGCCCGATATTGGCAGCTTTGTAATCATTTATCGGGTTTGTGAATCAGTAACCGGAGAAGAAATAAACGTGTTTGTCCTAGAAATCAAAGTTCATTTGCTTGGTGTTTCCGGCCTGAGCTTTTAATTCACCGCTTTCAAGGAGAAATGCAGCGTTTAACTCACAAAAGCCACTAATGAGTTTTAAAAATCTAGAAAGAAGAAATAAAGTTACAACTTGTCTGAAAATGTGATTTATGCAGCTTTACTGGAAATACAAAGTTAAAAAAGGAATTGAGATAAATCTGTTTCTTCATTTGCGGCAATAAAATGTTTCCTTATTTAGAAATAAGAATTGTTTGATTTCAATATATCTCTAATATTGCATGATATTCTGATAATTATTATAATAATGAAGACATAAAGTGCAAAATGTGTCAAGTTTTATATGACTAATTATCAGAATAATCAACTAAAGTAATTGTTAAACTTTTCTGACAAATAAGAGCAGAAATGTTATTCAAAATGAGTAAAACTGCACAAATACCAGCAAGGATGTAAAGATTATAACTTTTTTGGAAGCAGTGGTTGTTATTGGGTATTAACAGCTGCTGGAAGGGGAAGGATCTCGGTTGATGCTCCGCCGTGCGCCGTGGATGCAGCCGATGAAGCTCTCCGGTTCAGCAGCAGTTTGGTTTTAAAGCCAGAAGAGACCATATTTGGTCTGCTAATTATAAACATTAAGCCACTTATGAGTCTAAGTAATTATTGAGAAAAACATTAATAGGTACAAAACATCCTGAGGATCCTGTAGTTCCTGAGAATCGACCTCACTTCCTGCTTGACAGATTTGCGGATGGTTTAGATGGGAAGCAATCCGTCTGATGAAGATTAATGTCAAATATGGGGAAAATTGTGTAACATGTGACTGAAAGGTTCATTAATTGTTTTCTTAAAGTGATAATAGACCAAATACTGAACAATATCACCAAAAAAAGCCAAACTCTTCAATATAAAAATAGTTTTTTTTACATCATCGCTGAAACAAGCCCTGCAGAGATGAAACTACAGCAGTCACTTATGAGTGAGGAAATCAGGATTAGTAGTAAACCTCCTGCAGTATTGTTCGCTGTGAAACAGGAACACCTTAATACGTCTTAAAATAAAAGACTTAACTCCATTTGAAGAGCCGTGCTTTAGTCTCAGTGCACATGCGTGTTTTCTCCATGATGCTGAGGTCCAAGTCAAGCAGGTTGGGCGAACTTTTAGCTGTAGCTTTTGGGAGTGTTTGTCTGTAAACAAATCTATTGACGCTGTGCATCACTTCCTTTGTAAAGCACTGAAGGAGAAAGTGGCTCTCTTAACAGATCAAGTTTTCTTTCTCTTATAGTAGGCGTTGCATTTCTTTGATTTGCATTGATATAAAGTGAAACACTCACTGAGTGATGAAGCATTTTTGATGTTATGCAATTCATTGATCGTTCCTTATTTCTATTTGTGCAGAAGTTTTGGGTAATGAAAGCGTAAAGAGTTTACAAATTCTACTTTTGTTTTGCAAAAAAGAGGCATTAAAATGCTGCAGAGGTCCAACAAATTCATTGTTCTTCCAATTAAATTTAATAAAATGTTATGACTTGCAGGATTATTATATTCTGCAAGTTACATTTAAAATAAAAAACATCATTTCATCAGTTTGCAAAAAAAGATATATTAAGAGAGATCGCATGTACAACCTGAGAGAAACAGACACTTTTTAAGAACCAAAAATTAGAAGTAAACAAATTTAAATTGCCTGTTTTCTGTTTAAACTTGTATCTTTTTATTTTTGGTCAGTTGTTTATGGTATTGTGAAATCATTTTTGAAAGAATGGCTACTTCTTTATCTTCAAACTTTCCCTTTAAAATAAGTTCAATTTTCTGAATTTTGCTACATCTGGTTTTACTGTTTGGTTTCTCTAGATGTCCTAGTTCAAGCATTCCTCCTATCAACACCTTTGTCTCTGATTGATGACCTTGTTCTGCTTTCTCCTCAGCAGAATGCGTTCAAGGGGCCTTTGTGGAGCCTCTGCAGCCCAACACCGACCTCATGGGGTTGACTGACACCCAGACCAGACTCCCCTGCTGGTACCAGCCGGAGGAGAACCAGAGGATGGTGCAGGTCTCCTGGGAAAAGGTGTTCCCAAATGGAACCAGCAAGCCGATCATCGCGGCCCACTTCACTGAAGGGATTATCGGTATATTATACCCATAACTGTAATATCTCCAAAGACATAAATGTAGCTAAAGCATTTAATGCATATGTGTCAATTTTGTTTTGTTAAAAATGTAAAACAAATTATTGCAACATTTCTTCTTTTGCTTGCCAAACAATGAACTTTAAGCACAAGTCTAATTTCTCTAGAAGAGAAATCTGTGAATGATTGAAAATCTGAAACATAAAAATGGAAAAAAAAAACCTCCAGACTTTTTTTCTTTAACGGCTTTTATTGTGTAAAAAGGATTTCTTCATATAAGGTGAAAAGTTCACTTAATCTTTGTGTATGTTCATAAATTAAACTTTAACAAACAACTCAAAATAAACTTTTAACCCTTTATTTATTTTTGCTTTTTTTAAGAGCAAAACTCTTTCACCAATGCTGTAAAATAAGATTTGCTTTGTCCTGTAAAGGCTCAAGTTCCTCAGTTTGACCTGTTTTTATTATTTTTTCCTCCAGGTCTTGAGAATCGTAAAGAAGTGAGGTTTGAGACCTTCAACCCAATTTCTGAGAGCTCAGCTCTGCTCCTCCAGGTCACAAAGGTGTCAGACGCCGGCGTCTACCGGTGCCACATCGCCACCCATCCCCAGGGAAGCTTCGACAGGACCATCAGGCTCACCGTGTGGAGTAAGTTTCACGCTCTCCATTTTTCTGATGCATCTTACTAATCATGTTTGGGTTGTTTGATAAAACCATAAAGAGAAGAGCTGCCAACAAGGGTGGTTTGATGGTTTCACAATCAGGGCCATAAATTACTAGAAGCACTTATTCTGTCTTTATACGGTTCACTGCTACGGTGTGTGAAAAAGTCTGAAATGATTGCAAAATGTTATCTGAGAAAAGACCAGCTGTGGAAAATATCTACTACCTCATCTAATTGTGTTGGATGGTTTGTAATAATAAAAAAACTTTTGCCAGGTGAAATTCTGGAGTAAACAGCCTGCAAACATGGAGGACATTTTTTTTAAAACAGCGGCGGGATTCTGCTTAATCTGTCATTTTCAAATATTTCACATAAAATTCAACCTGTGGACACTTTACTGAAGTATTATTACTAAAGAAACTTGGAAACATAAATGAATTTAAGGAGAAAAGAAATGATGTTGGTTTTCTCTGGCCAGGTTTTGCCATTGTGCACCAGTGTTTTCTGTAGATAAACTCATTTATGACGGTGTTTTTATAGTATTTTCCCTTTTTTGAGGCTTGTTTCCACTTCCTGAGTGGATCACATGAGGTAACATTCGAATCATCGCAGCAGCTGTGGGAACCTGATGCTATCACTTCTGCTGCCAGTCATTGTCGGCAGTGATGCTCCGAGCGTCAGGGCTTGTTTTGGCACGCCTCGGATCACTAATCCACACAGACGAGTAACTGACAGCCTCCAGTCCTGAACGTCCCTGAAACATTTGATAATTTGCATGTAAAACGTCCGACGAAGACGTTGTAACAACCTGGAACTGAACCAACCTGCTCAAGCAGACCAAAGAATATAAACACCGTCCATGTTCAGCACTTTCATTTCATTTATGCCCATATATGAATTTACATGTTTTTTTCTGCAATCAAATCTTAAAATATTGAAAAATAGCTTTCCTTTCAGGATTTTGTGATTTAAAAAAAATATTTCTTATAATCAAAGTCACATATTTTGTGATGCTAATTATTTGTAAGGAATTTTTACAATATTTGTGCAAATGCAAAGATTTTCTGGGTCTTCGGTTCTTGAGTTTGACACGTGATCTACACCAAACTGTAGTCTGCTGGTTGCAGGTTCATTTTGCAGATGTGATGTCATTTATTTAGGGTTTTAAGAGATTAAAACATAACAGCTTTGTTGCTATTGCTTTTTTTTTTTAAAGAAATTATCCAAAGACGTGTGCAGAGATTGATCAGATATCAGATGATCATGACTTTCCTGTGAGTCACAGCGAGTTGGACACAAAATAAAAACAAAAGTATTTACGTGTAAATACATCTGATTATGCTGCAAAATCCCGATCAGAGTTTATTCTGATGAGCTTTCAGGAAAAAGTGAGCGAGTTTCTGTCGAAACTATTGAAATGAGATGAAACTCAATCCTAAACCTCCCAGAAACCTTTGTAATTAAATCCTGGTGTTACTCGGTCTGATTAAATCCATGTTTCACCTAAAAATCTGTGACATGTAAATAAAAACCAGAGTGGATCATCATAAAACCCAACTATTTTTAGTTACAGTAAAAGAACAAGATATTTCCCTTACTGTCTCTCTTCTTATTTAATTACCTTTAAAAGATTTTTGTGCCCATTCTTGTTACTAATGGATATTAAAAGAGTGTTTGTGACCCAACATTTCGACTCAGAAACATTTCGGTCATAGTTGATTTGGACGTTTTGCTTGGACTCAAAGCGTTTAATGTTTTAGTGATTAAAACATTAAATCCATTTTTTACAGAATCTGTCTTGCAGACAACTGAAGGTTTTGTGTCAAAACTGGCTGATATGTGGTGTTTATTTTATTCATTTTAAGTTAAAGTGAATCAAATCTCATGAGTTTAATCTCATTAGAAATGACCCCATAGCATGATGCCGCCTCCACCATGCCTCACTGAAGTATCTGGGTTCTTTTGGTGATGTGTTGGGTTTTTGTTTTGTATAGGTTAACAATAATAATAATGATAATTAATAATGAAAGAAAAAGATGATAATAATGATGAAAAATAACAATGATATTGGAAAAAAGATCAAAATGAATACAATAAAAATAAATTAAAAATAACAGTAAAAACTACTTAAAATAATGAAAAAATAATGAAAATTACTTTAAAAATTTTTTATAATTACAATAATTCTGAAAACAGTAAAAAATAGTAAGAAAAATAAAGAAATGGTAATAATAACAAAAAAAGAGACATGTAAAGTAGTAAAAACAGCAATAAAAATCTCCATTAATATAATATTTCTGTTTCCACTGCAGACATTTCACTTTGCTAAAGTAGGGCAGGTGCAGGTGTGCTATTGCAAACTGGGTATTGTTTCCTAAAGCTGGACTTCCTTTAGGTGGACAGCAGCCATTGTGTTGGTACAGAAAACGATCTAGGAGGCTAAAATGTGAACAGGAACCTCCTTATGTTGGTTGAAAAGCCAGGAATACCATTTGTATGCATCATCTGTGGACAATCCCTAAAATAAAACAAAAAGTATTTCTGGTCAGTGTCGCCCTGCAGTTTCACTTAGAAAACAAACATGAACCTAAAAATACTAACCAACAAATATCTCCCTGTTCTCGTCAGTGCTACCCATCTCCTCCGTGGAATCGGAGAACCTGGTGGAAGGCCAGGTGTTCGGCCTTGCCGCCACCTGTCGGGCCGTGGGCTACCCCAAACCCTGGCTGTCCTGGGACACCGAGCTGCCCGGCCAGACCAAGAACCACACCGGGGAAGACGGGAAAGCGTTCATCCAGTACTGGCTCCACCCGCTGCGCAGCATGAACGGCAAGAAGCTGGACTGCTTGGTGTGGCATCCCAGCTTGAAGGAACCCCGCAGGATAGCGAACCCACTGGTGGTCCAGTGTGAGTACAGAACAGACGATGAACCAGTTAGGACCCGTTAGGACCAGTTAGGACCAGTTAGGACTAACATGCTGTTGTTGTTCAGAGTTACCAGTCTGTCATTGGGGGGAACTGGCCACAAAGCCAAATCAGTGGAATGACATGAATCAATTAAAGGGGATCTATTATGAAAAATTCACATTTCTATGTTTTTATGCTTCCTTTTGGGTTTCTACTGCTTCTAAAATACAGCAAAGTTTAAAAAAATCAACAGGATGGTTTTTACCAATAGTTTTTTGGAAAATTAGATCTTTTAAAAACCTCCCAATTGTTAAGTCAGTCAGTGGGTATTGATTGTGACTTAACTATCTTATGCAATATTACAAATGCATTGAAGGAATGCAAATAAACAAATAACTAAATCTTATTTCTATAATATAATAAACATTTTATTCCCTAAAATGCAATAACAAAGGATGAATCTGCAGTGAAAAAATACTTTCAGTATTGTGAAAATTTCTGCTTGACTTATTAATACAGTGCAGAGTTGATCAGTTGTTTTTTTTAATTAATTGATTAATAATTGGACAAAAGGTGCTCAGTAGGAGAAGCTAAAATTTTGTTTTGTACAATTTTGGCTTAATTGTTACTTTCAATATATTGTTTTCTAGAAATTGGTATTTTTAGAATCTGTTAGCTATTAATAAATTACTAAATTAATCACAATTAATCCTATTAATTATTTCAACCCTTATTCTAGATCGAGGTCCATCTTTCTCTCGTAAAGTTGTGACCATTGCGTGCTTCAGTGTGTATTTTTACCTGCTGTTGATTCTAAAAACAAAACAGTAAATTATGTTTACTGTTTTGCCTCTTTGTTGGCATTTAATTGAACTAAATCCGGCGCTGTCTCATATTGCAACGCCAGATTCCTAGAAGGAGTTTTTCATTGCTATTCGCAGATTTGCCCAAAGTTTTTCTGTTGTCACAGAGAAGTGAGACGATACGGGAAGATTTATTCCACTTAATTTTTACACGCTCAGTTATGCAAAGTTGGAATATCATTTACAGCTCTGGAAAAAATTATGAGACCACCTAAAATGATCTGTTTGTCTGTTTTACTTTATATAGGTTTATGTTTGAGTAAAAGGAACATTGTCCCCTTAATTTGATAAACTACTGACATGTCTCTGAAATTTCAAGCAAAAATGTTTTATTTATTTGCAGAAGATGAGAAATGGAAATGATGCAGTGCTTTCAGAACTCAAATAATGCAAAGAAACAAGTTGATATTCATTTAGAAACAACAATACTAATGTTTTAACTCAGGAAGAGTTCAGAAATCAATATTTGGTGGAAAAACCAGGAGGATTATAATGTATTTCAGTGGAGTGGGCTCTTAGTTTTTGGTTCCTGAACTGAATCCTGATGATCAAGTCTTGAGCATCAACGGCTTGCAGAGGCTTCATCCTCCACACTGACTGCTTTAACATACTAATCTGGCTGCAGCCGGCATCAAATTTTCTTCCTTTAGCGAAACTCTTGCAACCTCAGGGTGGAAAATCAGTCTTAAATAACTCAGCAAACTGAGCAAACTTTTCTCTGGGCTCGGAGCCAGCTTTGTTAAGATCTTCCTGTTCTGAAAAAAGATCGCCCTCTGTCCTTGAATCGTATTTATTCAGCCTTGGTTGTCTTTCTGTGGACGTAAGTGAGCCGCTAATGACAGATCAGGTTATGACCAGAGAAAATGCGGACGTACTCTGACCTCGTCTCTCTTTTCGTGTAGCCATGCTGACCTTTTACCATATCTGTGTCATAGTGACTCTTTGGTATTTGGATTTGTTGTGTTTGACAACTTTCAAGGTGTGGACTTGACTCATGAACTCGATGTCTTTGGAGTTTTCCGCTTTGGTTCACCAGAAATTAGCATGAACTGGTAAAATATACAAAAAACAAACATCCAGTTTTTCTGGATTTCTATCTGAAGAAAGAGTTTCCCGACTGGCAAACTGATTTACAAATTGGAGAAAAGCTCCTTAGATTTAAGCATCTTAGCAAATTTTGAGTAATCTTATTGTAATTTTCCTCCCTATGTGTAGGATTTGATCATTAACAGCAAACTTCTGATAATAAACTATACGATATTGTAACTTTGCCTGACTGAACAAAATGTTGCAGAACCGATCTTCCTGTGTTGTCACTTTGTTGCAGCAGCAGGAAAAGCTTGGTCATAACAGGTAGTCATCATGAAAACTTCCTTCGAGGGATCTATTTTAAGAGTTAGCTGCAGGTAAAGAAGGACGAGATCAAGTTCCCCAGTCGAAGTGGAATCAGTAAATGCAAGAGAATTTTTATTCTTATTCAAACCGTTCTCTGATATGAATTAGAATTAAATATATACCAGAAGGACACATAAACAAGAATATTTTAGTGCTGTCAATCACTCCTAAGTGTGGCGCTGCTCTCTCTCTCTCACCCCTTTACTCTCTGGTTCGCTGAATGCTAAGCTGGACGATTATTGTTTTTTCTAACAATAAGTTGTTTCTCTGCGATTAACACATTTAGCAGTGAGTACATGAGATTGATTAACAACACTAAGACCTGCCTCCTGTCTCTGATTGGTTGTTTTTTCCCCATTTCTTTAGACATCATTAGCGGCTCATGTGAGGAGGCTCATAGATCGATTGTTTCACAGATTATCGGTCTCAATGTATTTCGTTTTTTAAATAAATGTCACACACTGCACCTTTAAAAGTTGTCTTTTTCTAAATGTTCACAAGATTTTGCTTTTTTTTCCCTATAATTTCTGACTTTTGTTTTCTTTTATTTGGTTTTACTTCAACTACTGTTTCAGTTTCATTCCACCCGTCGTTGCTGAGACTTCTTTCTCTGAGAGAAAGAAGTTGTAGTTGAATTTTTTATAACTGCAATGCATGCCTCTTTGTTTCAGACCCCCCAGATCCCAAGATCTCCAGTTCTCCCAGTGACTGGCATGTTGGTTTGCAGAAGGCCGAGCTGGTGTGCGAAGGCAAGGGAAACCCAACACCCGAGAACGTCATCTGGACTCGGTACCATCATCATACCACACAAACCTACATTTTACCTCTGCTAATTACATGTTAATTCAGCACACTGCAGTGCTAAATTGCTCTTTACCTGCTGCTGGAATGTGAATGAAAACAATTACATGTTACACACTGGTACAAAGCAAAGCTGTTGCACTCGAGTTTAAAGTGGGACGACTTTTTCTGCTCGTTTCGCTGCGGAAATCAAAAGCCGTGGCATCGAGTTGTGAAACGTGAAGTGAGACTTTCTGGGGCAGAAGACGTTTTCACACGAGGGATGGAACCAGCGACATGTGGAAGAGCAGGAGACGCAAACTAAGCACTTAATCACAGAGCGATGCTTTAAATATCACTCTAATGTCTGGTGAAAACACAGGGTCTGTGCTTTAATTAGAGACACCGTACCAGCCATTACATCTCTGCATGTGCACATAGTAGTCGAATGCCGGGTGGAAAATCTTTAAACAGGAGACAATCTTTAGATATTAAAAAAGAATGGGATAATCGGATTCAAACTTGCCCATCGCTAATCAGATATAAAAATATTATCAGTCTTCTTGCATAACCGGTGCAGAGAGAGGTCTGCCAAACTCCACCTTTAAGATTTAATCTGATCTGTTTCAAGAAGAAAACACACCACTGTTTCTGAGGAAGTTGGTCTAAAATGAGAGAATGATGTTAAGGTTTTTGCAATATTGAACTTGCACATCCTGCTTTCTATTTAAAATGAGAAAGCAGGTGCAGATTAAAGTTGTTTTAGGTTGCAGATGTAAAGCTTACAATTATATATTTTTAAACCTGTTGCTGAAGGAAAGATAGCAGACTGTCAGCTTTTCTAACTTCGCTTTGATTTAGGTTAATTTTTTGTGCATCACTCACTCCTCTGCAGTAATTTTTATAGGTAATGATTTTTTTTCTATCATAGGCTTCATTTTGTGGAGCAGATTTTGCAAGTTTGAGAAACCTGATCTTTGGAAAAATCTATCGCACTTCAGAAATTAGAAAGTGAAGATGTTCCAGTCAAGATCTGAGTGATTTAAAATTTGACATTTGCAGATATTGAATCCTAATTTTAATAAAGGAATGACACTGGATGTGTTTGAGAACGCTGTAGGTTTAAAGTTCATTAAAATTGGTACATTTCAATGTTGTTTACATAAGAACTGTGATTATATCCCACGTAGGTTTCTCTACATCGATGTTGTTTTTGTGTTTTTGTCCTGCAACTGAAAGTTTAAAATTTTGACACATTAAACACACTTTTCAAAATAACATAGAAGATAATGTAACAAATCAAATTTGCTTTTAATTGCCTAAATACACAATATGCCTGTTTCAGGAGCATAAACTTGTTTATTTACAAATTTAAAAAACAAACAAGCCGAACTTACATCTATAATATGCTTAATTTGCTCAATTTAATATTTAAGATTTTTTTAAGGCTCAGAAATTAAATTTCTGAATTAAATAATTTTGTAAGCCTGCAGAAATCCTGATATTTCACCGTAAACAGAGCATTTATAAGTTAGCTTCAATGTGCAGAGCTGGGTAGCTAAAAACACTCTGTTGCTACAACTCATCGCCTAAAACACACAAAGCTTTTAAATGTCCTTCTTTACATATATTTGACATGCAGATTCACTCTCTAATAAATTCATTTCTTTCTTTCTTTCTTCTTCTGATGATTTTTTTCCCATGCTGCGCAGTTAGCTGAAGTGCTAAGCTAACGCTATTCTCTGTTTTCAGTTAACTGTGGAAGCAAAATATACAAAAAATGTTATTCTCCTGCTTCATAAACTTAACCATTTTCTTTTAAATGTCAGTTAGTGAACATAAACAAAGAGCTGCAGCAGCCAACATGGTATTTCTTTCACTGAGAACTTTATTTATTTTGTTTAGCTAGTTCAACAAAATGATTCACTGGCCTCTGTGTCACCCAGCTAGCTTTCATCTACATGGTAATTCGTCTGTCTGATTACTGGAGTACGACGTTCATCTAAGGCCGCAGCTGACTAACTGAGGCTCTTTGTTTAGCAGATGCAGGAAATCTATTTATGTCGCTACTCTTTCGATTTGGAATGAGGAAGAAATTTGACCTTTTTCTTTCTTTTACAATCCTCTGGATTCGCAGACATTTTCTTTAACTTATGGGTTAATGTTTTTTGTTTTTTTTTTACTGTGACATACAATCAGATGTGACATCTGGACTAGAGCCAGTTTTGGTTCTGTAGCCAAAAACAATAATTAAATTATATATCAAACACAGAGAAAAATGCGCAAGCATTTTATTTTAAAATGTCTCATGTGATTTGGCTCCATGTTGGTCCCAAAAAGATGAACTATGAGTTCAGAATTTTAAAATATTTTAGTTTAAATATTAAAACATGCATTCTTTACACAACAGTCAAACTTTAGGGGCCCATAAACCCTTTTTGCTGCACAGAGTGGACCAACAAGTCGACTTGATTGACAGAATCAACTATGGATATTCCTAAATTAATCATCGTCATTTGTTGTTATATTCATTTATATATACACTGTAACTTCTGGTATCATAACTTTAAAGTGAAAACAGTGCAAAGTAAAACAATGTTTGGAAAATGTTTTGCCAAACTTGGTTGTCTGGCTTTGCAGTGTAGGACCACAGTTTCCTCCATCCCTTGTTTGTTTGTGTTGTTTCACATTTTTGCTCTTTTCAAAACCACTTCAGTCACACAGATTCCAAAACTTTGACTGGAGTGTTTTTATTTGGTGTCTTTAAAAATCTAACTTTGATAAAAGTTATTAAGACTCTTTAAAAAAAAACACAAAAGCTTAAAAAATGTGCATGTTGCACATGAGTTTGCACATGTGCAAAACATCCATCTATCTATTTTCTACACCTGTTTAGTCCCTGCAGAGGTCAATTAGTGATTTGATTCTCCATCACACAGATGGAGAATCATTCCTACACATAAGAGACACTTAGAATGACAATTTACCCGAATATACAAACAAGGCTTAGAACTATGCAAAGAGAACAAATCACCTGAAAATTTATTTATATACATATATATATATAGAGATATATCTATATATATATGCAAGTATATAACATGCAAAATCCACAAAAAGACTCTGCGGTCCAGATTTAATCCAGTATTTTGTTGTTGCATGTTTAAGAACTGAGTTACTGAATGGTTTGTAGGAACATGAAATGACTTGTAACCCAGAAAGTGCAACAGCTTCTCAGTTTCTGACCCTTACTGCGAATTTGCTAGTGTAAATGCTACGTGTCTTGTAGTAACGCTCCACTGACCGCTTGGTTTCACTTGCGGCTGTGGACAATAATCTGGAAATGTCTCCGCATTATACCAACCCTGATAGTACTGATGTAGCGATAACTCGCTGTCAAAGACGAATTTTGTGAATCCAGATGCCAGATTAGGACATTTTCAGCTGCTGACTGTAGATTATTCGTCAGATAAAATATTCTCGTGTGACTTTGTCATAAAAGGTGGTCAGGGAAGCTAGGTGGGGCTCTGAGGTGCGAAACATGAGCCTGCTCCAGTTTCAGCGGGGGGTAAAGCAGTGATTAAATAGCCACTGCAGCTCAGGGAAACCAACTCAGCAACCTGAACCGTCTCAGTGGACCTGATCAGAAACTGGCCCTCCATTATGTGACGGTGATGCCTCTGCAACTGCACGTTATCCAGTCTGCATGCACCAACTAAGGCTGGCCTTTATTTAGTTTGTTTGGAAGACTGGGCTGCAGGTTTTGGTTCAGGTGCATGTAAAACAATAGTTTAGGGGTGACCTGATGGTAATCTTTTGTGTTTATTTGAAATGATTTCTTCCGTGATATAAACCAATAATTGTTGCATTTTAAGCTGTTACTCAACAAAGGCCTAAAACTGGAATGCATGTTTACTCTCTGCCTCCTTTTTCATTTTCCATTTGCTAAAGCGAGTCACACCCTTTTGTTGTTTCAAGTTGTGACTCAAGCATTCTGTGTGGTTCACCCCTCGCTGACATCTCTCCAAATTGGCTTGACATTTTCTTCTTCTTATTGTTATCATCAGGAAAGAAGGAGCTCTGCCAGACGGGGTGTCTGTCAAAGGAGAAAAGCTCATTTTCGGACGGCCCGTCCAGTTGAATGACAGTGGGACTTATGAGTGCGCGGTCAAGAACGCTGTAGGATCTGAAAAAACAGAGTTTATTTTGAAGATATCAGGTAAGATCTGGGAATCTCTCTGCATTGTACCAAATAAAAAGACAACAAAATTAGACGGTTTTCTCCTACTGTAGACTTGTGAGTTTGCTGCCCCCTTGTGGTGAATCTATAGTATCTACAGATATAATTACATAAGATGTGAAGTATTAAAGGTGAAAAGTACATACAAGATTGCAATATATTCATACACAAATTTACCAATATATCAGAATGAACTAAAACAAGGTTTTGCAAATGTATTTTTCAAAATAAAAATCTGAAAAGTGTGGCATGCAATTGCATTCAAGCCTTTTTATTCTGATACCTGTTAATTAAATTAGAAGTCTCAAATGACTTTTTTGTGAATTTAACTATTTTTTGAAGGTGTCTGAGGTTTATTACAGAAGATAAGTGAATAAAAATCATCATGAAGTTAAGATAACATTTAACAGGCCTGGGAGAAAATTTAGGAGAGGTTTTACAGGTTATAAGGTTATATTCAGGTTATATGTCTGATAAAAAAGAAGCGAGAGTTCAGGGTGCTAACTGCTTTAACTTTCTCCTGACAGAGCTGCCTATCCTGCAGCAAAGCCTGCTGCTGATTGTTATTTGTGCCGTGGCCGGCGCTTTGGTTCTGCTGCTGCTCATCGTGTTTCTGGTCCTCAAACGCCGCCATCTGAGAAAAACCAAAAAGCTGAAGATGGAGCTCCGGGAAACAAAGTGAGCTGAGCCAGGTTTTCTTTAGCAGAGTGAGAAACTAAATGAGGCTTTCCCTTAAAGCTCAAGCGATGATGACAGATTGGCTGTTAAATGTTTGGTTTCGAGTGCTTAACCTGTCACATTCTCAGACACGTTTTGTTCGATAAATCCTCTAAATAGGCTTGTTTTATTGTTTTGCTTTTTCTAGGGAAGAAATTAACTCTCTCTCGAGACAAGCCTCCTTCAGGAGACTGAACTCAACAGGCTCAATTTCACGAATTCAGGTATAAAAAAACCACCTGATACCTTGGAGATCAGAGACAAACCTCAGGTTGGCACTCGGGTCCGATTTGGGTGGAGCTGTGGAAGTCCGCAATTACAGTTTGCTGCAGCTTCAGACAAATCAGACTAAAGCATGATGCAGTTCTGTTGAACATGAAACTCAGAGTGAATTTCTTTGTTTTTCTGCACTCATGTTCACTCATTTTTTAATATATTAAATATTTTCTCCATATTTTGCAGCCTGAAGATTATGCCTTACTCAGAGTCGACAGCCACACAAAATACAGCCAAATGTCTCTGGTGAGTTTGAAATAATCTTGATTGGATGAAAAGGAGTTAAATTGTTGCAGCAGCAGGATTCAAAAAATATGTTTTTATTAGTTTCCAATAGACTATTTACATTTTGGAGCATGAAATGAGAATGAAATGATTTGTGAATCACTTAACAATTGCACTTCACAGAAAATGCAAAGACAAGCACTCATATTCAAAAAGGAGAGAATCTAAACATCTTTTCAAGATAGAGAGAAAATGTGGGGAAAATGTTTTAAGTGGAAAAAAAAATCTGCCATTGGAACTAGAACTTTTTAATCAATATTAAGGAATTATTGACGTAAAACCAACCCCCTTATCGTGCTGAAAAGTTATTGGTAGATTAGTTTTATCTTAATTTACAGGTAGAAAAACATTTGTGCTACAAAGTAGACCAAAAATACTTGGTAAGATTCTGTGTTTTTATAGTGCAACAGCATCATAAATACAGTAAATCAGCCTGAAACACAATAATGGGAATATTTAAAGCAGGTTTTAACTATATTTGTGTTGGTCTAATTCACTAAATTTTGATGAAATACATTAAAATTTATATCTTGAACATGACATAATGTCAAGCGTAGGACAAATGAATACTTCTCCAGATTGCTGGATGTTTATTAAAACTTCCACCTCGCTGTTTTGCAGGAGCGGCCCCACTATCAGGGCAGCCAGTCCACTCTGGGTGGGAGGTGGGGACCGCCAGCAGAGGTGCCGCGGGATGAATACGGGCGTCCCGTCGTCTGGACCGATGACAGACAGTGTCTGAGAGCCGCAGAGATGAACAGGGAGAAGGAGGAGCGCAGGAAACGGGTGGAGTCGTTCGTGAAGAACAGCAACATGTCGCTGGTATGCGTCAGCGCCTGAGTGGTTAGGCGTGATGTAGTTTTGTTTGTAATGTGATGGTTTGTTTATATTGTCAGTTTGGTTTTATAGAGATGGAGGAGAAACACAGAAACAAACAAAAACTGGTAGTCAACCTTTTTTTTTATTGCTGTGGAGGAAACTTTTCTTTTTAGGAGAAATTAAGTTGAACTGCGGCGCAGTTTTCCAGCCTCTTTAGGTCAAACTTTCACTATGCAAGTGAAATTGCTTGCTAATGTGCTTTCGATTTTGTTCTTTTTTGCGACATTTTAAAATCTTGCTCAATATTTGAGTGGCAATTCAATGGAAACGTAGCTGTTGACTTTGTTTCTCATCTGTTTTTGCATTTCTTCATCTCTGGGCATTTGAGATCTTTAACCAGACAACATCTATTTAAGATTAATTACGCTGGCCAGGCAGTAATCAGGGCTTGTGTGTGGCTAGTGCAACTGAATTAGAAAATGTGGTGAATCACAGTTAATTAATTAACGAGAATAACTGCACTGCGCCCTCGTGGGTTTTCCGTCGACCGAGTCGGCAATTTTTCAAGACAGTTTTTGATCCCAGAAACGTTCAAATGTAGGTTATTCCTGAAAACAAATGTACTGTTGCACCCAATGTGAGCCAGCATTCTTTACTGACCTTCACAGATCAAGCTGAGCAAATTTAACTTGTTTTGCCTTTTCCTTCAGGATTCAGGCCTTCCTGCCTCGCTGGTTCCCCTCAAGGTCCAGCAGGACGATGGCAACGGTCATAAGGAGCCTGACTTGGGTCACCTACAGGAAGACGACACTTCCCCAGGCGACGACTCGGTCGTTGAATCCTCCACAACGGAGGAACACGAGGAAGACGAAGGAAGGAGTCGGCATTGTCTTCAGGGAACGCTCAGTAAAATGTTTTATGAAAGCAATGGGGTCCTCAGGCCCAAAGAGAATCCCAACGCCATTTTCCTGCCGAGCCAAAATTATTACAAACCACAGCTTATCTAAACCTCTGACTTTCTTCCATAATTGGAAATGAGAAAAGCCTGTCAGCAATTTAGCTCTGACAGAGACTTTTATTTTGAAAAACAAAGTATGTAATTACTATGGACAGAAAAAAAAAGACAATTTTATTTGTTTATTTGACCTCCTGAACTTCTATTTTTACTTCATAATAACAGGAACCTTTTTAAACATTTTTGGGATATTTTTGGGCCATTTATTAAAAGAAAAGCGCTTACTCGACTCTGGAATCGTCGAATCTTGGAAGATCTACAGAGACTTCACTGACTGAACGCTTTTCCTCGGACTAAACATCAAGTCATCTGAACGAGAACTCCCACTGTCATCAAGAAATCTTACAAACCTCAGTTTCTCTGGCTTTACATTACAAACTTGAACTGGATTATTCTACAGAGATAAAAGATTATTAAAACAGATTTATTATATGTTTACTGACACATTGTACTGAACATGTTAAAGTGCATGGTTTCCCCTAGAAAGCCTGTTAGGGTTAATGCTGGTGGTACTGGTACTAGAGCAGCCAATCGGAAGCCCATCGTGTTTTGTGTTTAAAAAAATGTTTAATCACTAAATTTTAGAGGTCCTTGAGTCGGGATCACAATTTGAAAATGACAGCATGAGGCCAACCGGTAGGTGTAGGAATGGCACAATTGGTGCGTCCAGTTCAATGCGCCAGCTACAAACCTAGCTTGATTTGTCTATACTGTCAACGACACATGTACATGAAAAACAAATTTAAAATAAACAAATTATAAGCCTGGTGGCCTGCCAGGCTTATAATACAGCAGGGAAGCCTTGCAGTGCCTTAGTGCCTGAAATGCAATATTAGTGTGTATTTCTACTAACTAACCTTGTCATCAGTGGTCGTTTATGTGAGATAAATGGCTCTCTGCCCAGGGCGCCATGCCACCATGGGGCATCACTGACACTCCAGAGAGACTAAAGAAACAGTTATGTCAGTTTTACCCCCAACAAGTTTTTTAATGATTATTTTCATGTTTAGTTAATGGGAATTGGACTGCTACATCTAGCTAGCGTTAAATCTATTTTTTACTTAAGTCTTTGCATCAAAATGAAAATGAAGCTAATAATTGGTGGAATTTATGTAAATAAAATAAAATAAAATAATAATAATAATATATATATACAGTAATTTTAGCAGCAGTTGGAGTAATTATTGCTTTTCTGTTTCAAACTAAAACAGAGACAATGTTTTACGTTTCTGAGTAAATACTCAGATATGATAATCTCATGCTGGCCCAAGCCTATAGAGGAGTTTACTATATTTAATCTTACATATTCTGTTTTTCAATGTACATATTTTTGCTAGATTTATATGTTCTTTAATGTTTTTCTACGGGTCAAACAGGTTTTGCAGCTCGACAAATTTAACTCATTAAAATGTCTCTTGATTTATGTACAGGATGCATTTTCCCCTGCAGAATAAAAGCAGTGTTTACTGTCTGCGGCCTTATTGTTATGGTTCTTACGTGTAGCTACATATGAAACATCAGTTGCTACCTGCAGGAACTAAAGCGTAAAGGGAGGAACTGTGATAAAAATGAACACATTTGAAGAAAAATGTGGATTTTATTGGACAAAACTGGACAGTAAATTATCACAGATGAGCAGCTGGATGAACTGGACCTTTTATTTTATATGAAGAACGCTGTTGAACATAATGAATATTTGTTTGTATATGTGTTTTATTGTAAGAAAGTCAAATGTAAATAACTAAGATTTTATTATTAAAATTACAACATATGGGATTATAAAAGCAGTCATTGAGAGGCTGTTGAGGTTTATTGTGGTTCTGACTTTCATGTATTAATGTTTCCTTTTCTCCAGTGATGGGAAAATGAAGCTGTTGTTATAAAGGGACGTTGAGAAACGTGAAGATACACCCAGGAGGCAAAAGTTATTGTTTCGCCCAGGAGATTATATGCTTGGCTGCAGGTTGGGCTGGGAATAAATTAGCTGGGTGTAAAAAGATAAATAGATGAGTTTCAAAATTCCAAGCCCTTTACCGTTACAGCAATGGGCTTGGCTTAATTTGACACAAAGCTGAAAACTCAGATCAATCCTGTACAATATAAATGTAATATAAACCTTAAGAAGCCTTTTAAATATGAAAAGTGGTGTTAAACATTGTTTTCAGCTTCATATCTTTTTTCAACTTCAAAAGATTCTTTATCAGTTTCAAAATTTTTTAATCTTTTTTTTCCAGTTTTAAATCTGTTTTTTCTTTTTTTTCCATTTTTCTGTTTCAAAATTTTCAGTCTATTTTTTTTTCTTAATTTGAACAAACTTTATGGCTTCCATTTACCCTCATACATTTCTAGTTTTGTGGTGAATTTCTTGTCTACAGAATAACATTTCAGGAAGCCCTCAAACCAAATCAGTGAATTGATAAGCGAAACATTGATTATTTCCAAATACATTTACTGATTAATATAAGAAATACCTTTACAACCACTAGACTAGATCTTAAACTGCTAAACTGTTTTTTATATTGTGCAAGTGACTAGAAAACATATAAGATGGTGAAGGCGGGTAAATGTTTTAGGACTGATGAGATTAATTGTGATTAATCAGTTATTGAACTCATCAGCTAACTAAATATATACTGCATTTAAGATGTGTTATGGCCCACGGCCTTTCCTCTGGGTTCTTAACATCCCTTAACATCTAGGACGTCTAATTGGTGCTGATTGGAAGTGGAGGCAGCTGGTTAGTGACTCCAGAACGACAGCAGATCCAGCTTAAGATGCACCAGCAGCTCATTCTTTCTGTTTCTGTTATTCTCTCCCATTTCCTTTCCAACTGGTTATGATTTGTGTTAAATAAATCTCATTTTAAGTGATCCCATGTGTTGCTTCCCTTTAATTTGTTATGGTTCTAGAGCCAGACCATAACAAATTGGGGGCTTGTTCAAATTTATGTTTTTGCGTTTTTGGTTTGTTAATGTAACTGGGAAGCTGGTGTGGGAATCTTAAGTTTAGTTTTGGAGAAGGTTTTTCCTTTTTCTTCTCTTTCTCTGATTTGGGGTGAGTTGTTTTTCATTTTATCTGATGAGTTGATTGTTGGTAAGTGTTGATTGTTTGTTTGGTTTGTGCAGTGAAGTATGTCTGATCTGAACTGAATCCTCTTTAGGCCTCAGCGTGTCTCCCCTTTTTCCACTCTACTGGTATTTAGTGCATAAGTTCCCACCGTCCCTGATCTCTGAAGACTCGGGTTGAGCTAGTTAGTTTCTGATGGGCGGTTAGAGGGGAGGTTCAGGTTGGTTGGTTTGTTTCGCACAGATTGTCAGCAATTTATTTAAAATTTTGAAACTGTTTTGTGATTAAGAATTTAGTAATGCCTGAAGACTTTAATAAATCTCCATCAGTAGAATTGGTAATGATTGCTGAGCACTATAAAATAAGTGTTGGTGACAAACGGTTGAAAGAAAACGTTAAAGCAATTTTAACGAACAACTTAATTGAAATGAGTGTTTTTTTTTTCTTTGCCTTCAAGGCCTGAAGATTTGGGTTCTCCTATTGTAAAGCCTAAACTTTTGGATTTTGAACAACAAAAATGAAGTTTTCTCTATGTTGAGCTTAAATGATGGCCAGAATTATGCGAAGGTTAAAGTTGCAATACTAAAGGTGTATGAATTGGTCCCTGAAGCATACAGACGGGTTTAGAAACTGGAAAAAAGGTTATAAAACTTATGTAGTGTTTGCAAGGGATTTGGAGATTCAATTCAATCGTTTGTGCTCTTCCTCTGAGGTTAAAACACTTGGTGACCTCTAAGTATTTAATGGTTCTGGAACAATTTGAGAACTCTGTATCGCAACGCATTGCAATGTACATTAATGATCAGAAAGTGAAAACTGTATCAGAAGCTGCAGTGTTGGTGATGATTTTGTCTTGACAGATAAAGATGCAGGTGGAGAGCGTGCAGATTGGATGAGTGCTCCAAACTGGTGTTGAACATGTTCTGGAGGTTATTTTTCAGACTGCAGTAACTGACCTGGACAAAATTTGTAATTATTGTCACAGAAAGGGTCATTGGAAGAAAGACTGTGCTTTGCTGAAACCCAAAAATAAAAATTAAACTCTTTTCATATCTTTTTTTTCAAGATATGAAAAAACTCAGGTTAATTCTCCGTTAATTAAACCAGCAGCACTCGCTGCATCAGCTTTTTTTTTTTAAACCTTCCTAACAAAATGACTGAAGTGCCATTTGTCGGAAAACCTGATTTGAGTTCTTACAAACCATTTCTTACTGAAGGACAAGTTTCTCTAGTTGGGAGTGATGTCAGGGTGCCAGTTACCATCTTAAGAGATACTGGTTCATACGTTTCCTTCATTCTGGCCTCAGTGTTGTCTTTTTCAGATGAGTCTGACTCTGGATTATCAATACCTGTGTTGGGTATGGGCATGTGTGTGTTTTGTGTTCCAGTACATAAACTCATGCTTCATTCAGAGTTTGAAGGAGAAGTAAGGATGGGTGTGAGACCTGTGCTACCTTTGGTTGGTGTCATTGTTATTCTGGGGAACAATATAGCTGAGGGAAAGTCTGGCCTGATCAACCAGAGTCTCCAGTTGTTGTTTCAGGGCCTTTGATCAGCTGTGGCCCTGATGAAAACGAAAAATCGCACCCTGAAGTTTTTCAAGCATGTGCTGTGACACGAGCAATGAAAGCATCCAGTGACGTACATCAGGACTTCAGAGTAGATAAACAGACGTCCTCTTTTTGTTTTAATATTCCTTTGTCTATTCCACAGAATGATCTGGGTCAGGACCAAAGAGCTGACCCCACAATACAGACTTTTTCAGTCTGCATTACCTGCTGAGCAGATTCAGGGCCTTTAACGGTTTTCACTGATCATAATCCTCTGACCTTGAATTCTTTTTGCTGCCCAAATCAGAGACTTGTGAGAAGGTCATTATTACTTTTTCCTTGGATATTCATCAAAGGAAAAAGGGGAAGGATAATGTCATTCCAGATGCTTTTTCAAGAGCACAGTCAGTAACTTTTTTTTTTCATCTGTTAACAGATAAAAAACCTTATTCGTCATTAAATATGTTCTATCCAGAACTCAATTTGCATTTTTAGTTTCACCTGGTTAAAACTGTAAAATATTTATTGAGCACCTTTTTCTATCCATTTATTAATCCAAAAAATAAACATATTAGTAAACAGCATGATTTTAGATCTACATTCACCTTTTACTACAAGTGTTTGAAGAAATGCAATGTTATTGCAGCTATATAATTATTTTCATTCAGAAAAGTAATTCAATTATTTGCATCTTTTAATGTATTTAAAATATTTGCTTAACTGGTTAAATTAAAAATCTTCAAAGTTAGACTTATTTTTATTTGATTAATTGATTAATAGTCAAAATAAATTACAAAAATAATTAGTTGTAACCCCAAAATGTTTTTCTTAATGACAAAAACAGATGGATGTTCAATCACAATAAAATAATTAGTATTTATCTTCAAATGCTAAGATGTCAATGGCATTGTAAAACAGTTCCACAGTAAAAATTAGCTACAATATTCCAGTATCATGGAAATACAGTAAATTCTAGCTTTTATTATCTTCTGTGTATTTGATTTAAAACATTTTAAGAAAGAGCCTCCTTGTGAGTTCGTTGATGAGTGCGCAGGTTACTCCTCTGGGAAAAACTCTTGCCACACATTTCACATGTGTACGGTTTCTCCCCGGTGTGAATTCGCTGGTGGATCTGCAGATGGCTGATGCGGTCGAAGCTTTTACCGCAGAAAGGGCAGATGTACCATTTCTCTTTGATGCGTCGACTCGCTACAGTTTTGTTAAACTCCGGCTCATTTAAAGCAAACAGACTCCTGTCGGGGTTGAAAGCTGACGCGTTTTTAGTTCGCCATTGTTTTTCTAAAAAGAACCCAACAGCTGTTTCTCTTTCTGCATGGTGTGATGTTTGCTGACTTGGCGTTGATTGGCTGAAAGTCAAGGGAGCGCTGGATTTACTTGAAGCACCTTGAAGAGTCCCACTGGCCCTTGCGAGCCGATCAGAATGAGCAACCTCCGCCGAGTTATCAAAGATGTCCAGAGAGTTTTGAATAAGTAAGATTTCTGAGTCCAGATTGTGTGAAAGCTGGTTTGGTTCGAAGAAGCAGTCAGAATCATCCTCCGTGTCGCTGTCTCCCACTGAAACAGACACCCAGTGTTGGGTCTCTTGTTCTGGTGCCGCTTCAGCACATTGTTGGAGTCGTTCATGGTGACCCACTACGCTGCTTCTGGGATTCAAATCGACTTCCTGCTCCACGATCTCAATGTCATCATCCTCTTCCAACTTCACTACAGATTCCTCATCATCTCTATCTTCGGATTCACAGAGATCCGACTTGCGTTGCTTTGCAGCACTTTCATTGTCTTCCATCTGAACAGGTAGTAGTGCTTCATTATTCTCCGAAGAGTCTGCTTTATCTCGAAAGCTCTGATCTGAAGGAAGTGTCTGCACTGATTCTATTGAAAGCCCTGAAATAAAAAAAGAAAAAGCCATCTTAATGAGAATGAAATGTTTAAGCAACAAAATGAATAATCTCCAATTAAATCAATTGTACCAATTAAATCAAATTCATTACTATCATTTATCATGTGTAGAGCATGTGTTACACTGTTTCTCACATGAAAAATTCAGACTCATTTAAATAAATTCACTGCAAGTTTAATTTCAGTATTCCAAATCAAAACTGAAGTTTATTTCATTACAACAAAGTGATATATTTTGAGCACTTATGTATGTTAAACTGAATGGCTTACAACTAATAAAAACCAAAAATTTGAGTATTACATAATGGCAACAAAATAAGAATTTGTAATGCAGAAATCTGTGATTTATTAAATGTAAAATTCTAATTTCTTAAACTAAATTTTGGGTTCTTATCAGCTAAAAACATCAAAAATAATTTCTGGAAATATAATAAATGCTTGAAATATGTTGTGCAGTGTGTGCAAAAAATCAATACATTAGTTTTACCATTTGAATGGAATTACTGAAGTAGGTTAATACAAGTTACATGACTACTAAAATAAATTGCATCGCTTTAATTCATTGAGCTACAACTGCTCTTACCATGGAAGCAACAATATTCTCTAATTAAAATTCTATGTCATGCATATAGCTGCAAAAATATTAGGGCCATTATAAAATGATTTCTGACTTTAAATATTTAGATATTAAAGTCAGAATACTTGGACTCTTCCAGTGTTGTAGCTGCTGTTCCTACCTTCACCGGCAGGTGGCGGCAGATTATTTTGCTGCTCTCTCCTTGGTAAAGATGACGACTTTGCTGCTTGAGAAAGAGCCGTTAAACGCTCGTTTTCCATTGATATGAGCTTTCTGTTCAGGGCTTTAATTTCGCTCTCTCTCCGAAGCAGCTCCACCTGAACCACAGCGAAACCCTCCTCCCACAGCTTGCTGATTTCCATAACGGCCGCTTTAGCCAGCATCTCCATTATGGAGGTTAGCTTGCTCTGGAAAGCCACACAGTTGTTGTTGTTGCTGCTGTTAGCCATGTTGCTCCGCTTCGCTAGCTGACGCAACGTCAGTAGGCTTTTACAAGGCTTTTATATGCGACTACAAATCCAACAGCAGCAGAAGTTCTCACCTTAAAAGTTCACATTTACTGATTTGAGGCCAAACCATGGATGTGTAATACAATAGAAACAGGAAACGGTCATGATCACGTGATAGGTATTTCGGCGCTCTTGATTGGCTACAATTTCTGACCAGGAAAATATGACATTATGAAAGTCAATAGTGCTTCTCATCTTTGTCCACTAGGTGGGGCTGCATTTCCATATTATTGAAAAGAATGTTTTACAAAGTAAAATAAATAATTATCAGATATATCATTTGTAGACAAGTGTTTTAAACACACAAACAATGACCAGTCTTATTCAAATTCCAAATCCTAAATATTTTGTCAACCACAAAGGAAAATAAAATTCAAAATTCCCCAAAGTGTTATTGTAGATGGTGTTGACATATGTAATGCATGAGGGAACTTGCAACCTAATTACTGGTCTGGAAGGTCCCAATCTTGCTTTACTGCCATTTACCAAAGTTCACTCCTCTCTACTTTAGTGAAGACGTGAACTAATGGCTCTAAAAAGAGCAACTACTCGCAATCAGTCTTATATAGAGCACCTTTAATATGTACCATGTAGATAACAGTAAATAGTAAAAACAATGAGTTTAACACGGCTAAACATGAAAAAGCAAAATCTGCAAATAAAAATACAGCTACAGACTGTAAGAAGCAGACTTACCACATCTAAGAATAGATTCCAATATTAAGATTAGAGTTAAAACTGTCTTCACAAATAACTAAAGTTAACTAACTAGAAACGTTATTCTGCATTGTACAACACAGGTGCAAATATATAGATGGACAAAAAGCTGGAAAACAACAGTGTCTCTTTAATCTTTTAACCATATTAACTCCAGCTATTTAAACCTTAATTAGCACATTTCCAACTGCGAAAGCGACAAAGCAGCTCGCACGCTGATTGGCTGACAGACATGCCCTTCCAAAGTGGGCGGAGTCAGAGCAGGGAGACGACGGAGCTGTCAAACACCGACAGTCGTTTGAAATATTATCAGAGGAGCGGATAAGAAAACCGCAACACTTTACCAATGCGTAGACTAATTAACGACAGGAGCAAACTTTGTGTTAGATTTCGGTGTTCAACCGCTGGATAAAAGGACTTCCAAGCCGTCGTTGGGAGCAACTTGTTGTTAAGTGCGTGTTTTGCTGGCTCTCCCTCTCGGGCTAATGCGTGTTAGCTCTTCGCTCCGCTTCAGTTTTGTTGACAAAACTAGCCCTTTCGCTATCGCTGAGCTAGCTGCGGTGTTTCGAAGTTAGCTCGTGATTTTCTCAGAAATGTATCCGGGTACAGGCATGGAGCCCAGCCCGGACTGTTCCTGGAAACTCCTCCGTGAAATAAAACTAAGTGAGTAAAACTTTGAACACTAACAGGGGCAAACCTTAATAATGGCCACTGCCTCTGGTATTTGTTTACATTTTCTCCCTGGAGTTTGTATTATACGCTTAGCAAATTAACAGTCTAGCGGTGTTTTACCCAGTCGTGTAATTGCTGTCATTTACATCCAGGTAGTGGCAGGTTTTTACTACCCGCCCCATTGGTTTCTTCATTACTTGTAAGCCATTGAATATTGACTGGCATGCTCACTTGCAAGTAGTATATGTTCACCACAGTTGATTGTGGTCAGATATCAGACTGCTTTGCTTTTTCGTTTTGTGTGACCTTGCTAAATGTTTTGCTATTGTTGATTTGTGTGTACAGGAGGAACATGAGGAGCGGCAAAAACGCCAATTTAATTTATCTCCTCTTTTCAAACCAAATTCACTTGATTTATAAAGCACATTAAAAAAAATTGATTACAATATTGTTCAGTGACAGTAAAGTAAATGACTGATTGCAAAAAGCCTGAGACAATAATAATGACAAGGAAACCTAGTAGGAATTTATGTATGTTAAGGGGTTTGTTTTCAAAGTTTGCACCACTACTGACTAATCCTCAAAGTGTTTGGCATCCCTTTGTAGAAACAGCTGCCGTGAAGTGTTGGGATAACTGTTAATGAATCTTTTACATCACTGTGGAGGAGTTCTCCCCCACTTTTAGTTGCAGAATTGTTTTGTTTCGGCTACATTGAAGGGTTTTCAAGCATTCATGCTTGCTTCAGGTCATGCCACATCTTCGCAATCAGATTTAAGTGCAGACTTTGACTAGGACACTCTAAAACATTGTCTTTTGAGGTGGACTTGCTTGTGTGTTGTTGCCTGCTGCTCAACCAAAGTGGAGAGCACCCCCAGACCATCACACCACCACCACCGTATTTCAAAGGTCAATATGACCTTTTTTTGAAATGCTTTATTGGTTTTATGTCACATTCATCAGGAAACACACCCTCATATAAAGACACATTTCTGACTCATTGGTCTACAAACAGTTTCTTGAAAGGTCTTTGAGGTGATTAAGAAGTTTTTGGTAAAAGTCAGACCTGCTCTTGTGTAAGTTTTAACTTTTAGATGAATACCAACCAGTCGGCTAATTATTGTTAAACCATGAAGACTGACCTTGATAGAACTTGGTTAGGCATGCAGGGCATTACATAAGTTAGTGTTGTTGGAGTAATTTTGTTTGCCTGGTCAGGCCACATCTGAGGTGGTTCAATACTGTTCCATGTGTTTTCCATTTGTGGATAATGGCTCTCGCTGCACCTCACTGGATTCCCAAAGCCATAGAAATGGTTTTGTCACCATTTCCTGACTGTCAATTGCTTTATTTTTCATTGGTTCTTGAGTGTCTGTAGTTCTGGTCAGATAGGTTCATTCACTTTTTGATTCTCCAGGTCTGGCAGTAATAAAACTTGGTTGTTTCTCAGAAAATGTTACTATGAAGGGGGGCATCTATTTTATGTACACTCTTCATGAATAAAGACATTTTAAATTCTGTTCTGTATCTACACTACTCATTACCTTTGCTTGTTACTGTAAGTTGCCTGATGATTTGATACATTTAGGTTGGACAGAAAAACAAAAATAAGATGACATCACAGCACCATAGCGTGAATCAAACTGGTCCCAAGAGGGGTCCTTGAGGAACACCAGAATTAACAGCTGTACAGGAGGAAAAATCTTCCCAGTTTCATATTGATAACCAATCTATTTCCTGAAACCTTACTGGAAGTTTTTGGTAATTTAGAATTAAACTAGTTAGGTGTATACATCCAGAAATTTAAGAAGAAATGGCAGCTGGGAGATTGACCTGCAAATCTTTTTTTATTCTCTTTAACATTTTTCATTACAACGAAACATACAACCCACTGGCCTGCAGTTATTTAAATCTTTGCAGTGACATTAAACTATTTGCTGCAACCTTCATAACATCACTTATATTTTGATTTATTGATGACATGTCCCATTAGCCTGTAATCCACTAGGACACAGCTGGATAGCTGTTCAGCGCCCTTCTCCAACTACTGCTACAGTATTTGGCCTGAGGCTGCTTTGGTGTTATGCCCCATCTGTTTTGAAGTAGCAACAGGCCACATTTTACACAGAAAAAAGCCAGACTTTTACATTTCCACCCTTTCCACCCAGTGTCCCTTTAGTGTGGTATTCTAAATGCATACCATTGGAATACGAAGCCAGCAGGGTATAGTTTGGAAACAAATATAGTAATCAACATGGGTGGTTTTTGCCTATATTTGTATTTTATCACTTGAAACAACACAAGTGAGGGTTATTATAGATGTAAAATAAATACACATATGAGATATATGAGCTTATTTTGCTTGTTTATTTCATGATATGAATTCCTCATCACTGGATCTTTGCCAGTATGAAAAATGCAAAAACTTTCCCTGTGAATCTTGCAGACTGTGTATTGCAGAGGTCTGTGAAGTTGCATGTTGCTCTTCGAACCCTCATTGGTAGCTTTTAATTACTTGGTGGAAAATATCATAGAACTGAGCAGAGTTTGTGTACAGAAAGTTAAAAAAAAGGCTAAACTTAATAGCTCTTCAAGAAATATTTGGATAGAATTGGCACCAAAAGTTCAAGGAATAATTTTACTAAATTAGTGTTTTTGTTATTGGGCTGCAAATGATGCTTGTTTTTCAATTTTTGGATAAATATTGAGCATTCATTCAAGAAATGCATCCATTCTCTTCTCATAAAAGTTTGATGTTTTTCTTGGTTTTAAAAACAAAAACTTTGCTTCTTCAATTTTAATAGTGAGCTAATCAATTTTATAGTCATTATTTATTGCACTTACATTTTTATAGGTCTAGAAAAATGCGTTTTTTGTAGGAGGAAAGCTAAATGACTCTGGATTGTAAAAAGTTGCTGACTCCTGATCAGAACAGTTATTTATCCAAATATAGCCCTTCATTGTTCTCTGCTCGTTGTGTAAAACATCACATCTCTGCACAACACAACGATTGGTTGAACTTACTTACTTATGCCTGGTTCACATAGCAAGATTTAAAAATTGTCAATTGATTTTCTAAACCTGAGAAATCCCCATGAATGTCAATTAAAAAAAATCATAAATATGAGTTTTGTTCCTACAGTATGTGGTGTACAGAAAACATGCCACACATAGACAGACTTCACTCACCAACATTAACGTATCAGATGGAAAATCATGAAAAACCTCTCGAGCGCAAACGAGAGATTAGCGTAAATTAACATGGCAGACGAGGAAGAATGATTGTGGACTATTTCAAATGGAGAAAAAAACCAAGACAACTAATGTCTACCTGACTTTTTGGTGTGTTGTTTGAGCAGTCCGAATGGACCGGATCACTCTGACCACACCACGTACAGCAGGATTATCTCCTTAAAATATCTTTAGAGGCATCACAATAACCAGAACGTCTTTCAAATTGTCAAAAAGGGAAGACCGGGTCAAAACTCAGCATAATTATCTTGCCTTTATTCAAGGGTATTGGAGTAAATATTGCTGAACACAAATGCACACTTTTTAGATTTATAGTTGCAAAAATTAAAACTAGTTTCAGTTTATTACTTTACTTGTGCTGACAGCTATCCCATATATGTTTCTTTCTATTAGTCTGCCAAATGAAGTCCCAGTAAAATACTTTGAAGTTTGTAGTTTCTAGGAAGCCACTGTACATAA